TACTTTTTTAACATAGCAATTAGGGCTAACTACTTTTATTTACGTTTTTCCCGTTTAAACTTAATATTATCCTTTTTCTTCTTTATCTTTTGCTTATTTTTTTAAATTTTTAACGCCTTATTTAAATATAAAAAATAGCATTCCTTTTTAATATAACCTTTAAGCTTACAATATAAACATTATTTATTTTTATTTACTTTTCTAATATTTTTAGCTTTATTTATTATATTTATAGCTTCGTTATTATAATTCTTCAATTTAAATATATCAATTAGCATTAAGAAAAGCATATTAAAGGTATAAGCATTAGGGTCCTTTCATAGGTTTTAAATAATATTATTAATTAATCCTTTATAGTTACTATTTAAATAGTATAATACCTAAAATATTATTACCTTTTTAAGCAATTTAATACCCTTTTAAATTAAGTTATTATTTAATTCCTTAACTTTATTTAAGTATACTTCTATAAAAGTAAAGTAAAATAAAGAAGTATTAAATAGTTCTTTAAGGGTAAAGAATTTAATTATAAAGCCTTTTAGGTTATAAAGATTTTCTAGCTTATTCTATACTTTAATTAGGTTATTAATACTATATAAATGTATAAAAAGGACATCCTTATATAATAGTTAAATAATATTAAATGCTTTTTCTCTTTTATATAAGTTAATATTTCTATTTATAATAATAAAGTAGCAGTTATCCTTTTTTAAGGTTACCTTTACTTTTATTTTTTAAATAGAATAATTAATAAAGCCCATAAGCTTCACTACTTTATAAATATTTAATTAAAATATATTTATCCTTATATAATATATAGTACGCTTGGATATATGGGTTTATAGGGGTAAGGGGGTAGGAAAGTGTAGCTTTTTCGTGGAAAAAGTGAAGGTTTTACAATCTCGATCGAAAACGTTTCGGTTGTAGCTTAAGTATAGCTTAATTAACTCAATCGTAGCTTAGTTGACTCGATAGGGGTTACAAAAGGTAGCTTAGTTAACTCGATTTCGAAGGCTTAAGGGTCTCGAAAGGGTGGTTCGAAAGGGTCAAAAGGGGTCTTCGTTTCCGGTAAATATATACACAATTACACCGGGCTTATAACCTTTCGGAAGTTATTCGGGTTAGCTTAGGTAATTGCATATATATCTTAATAAACAGTTTAAAAAATGATTAATAAATAGGGTAAATAGATAAGTCATTCAGTTATCCAATACGGAAGGAAAGTTATATAAATAGGAATACAGAATACAGTCATCCTAACCGCGGGGATAACCTACTATATATAAACCTAGCCGCTGCCCTAAAGGTGCCCTGAAGGGTTCCCTATCGAACCCACTGGAAGGTTCGATCCTATGACTCATACCCAGATGACTAATACCCTGCAGGTGAATTACCTAATTAGGTATTAGGTAAACAACCTGACTGACAATAATTCGAGCTAATATGTGAAGGTATAGGCATCGTGGTTGTATTGAAGTTGTAGATGGGAAAATTAGCTTAGTGCCATGGCACTGTAACGACCTATTGATACATAATGTAGGTGGTGACTGCCTACATAGTAGATGGCAGATGGTTGTAAGTATGTATTGAACCATTTGATGTACATGTGGGTGGAATCTGCATTGTTTCTCAACCCTCGCTTTTGGGGACAGCTTAGCGAAACTTAACGGCTAAGAAGGCTATCCAAGTTGTATAGAGACTCAAGGTCAGCTACCAGGACTGTCACAGTACCATAGTTGAGTGTAGGCGCCCAGGGTCTCGACCTAATAACGCCGTTTCTATCTTTTGCTAGCTGTAGCGGTTATAGTACTACACTCCTATTCTGTCCTGTGACAAGGACCAAGGCGGCATGGACTGGAACTCAGGACTGCAATAGTCAGGAATAATATATTATATGAAACTTATTCTTGTACAATATTACTTCGTGATCTTCTCGCCGAAGCTAGGGTATATAAAGCGAGTCTTTGTGGCTCTCACATCGTACACTGGACACTATGAACCCTGGTTGACATAATGGGGCATTATGTTCTGAATAACTTCTCGTCCAAGCCGAAGACTGTCACCAGGCACCGAGAATTTCTACTTCGACGGAACCTAATCCAGTAGGTTAAAGTACAATTAGCGAAGATATAAACTTTGTGTATCACTTTAACAAAGCCGGTCGGATCTAATGTCATGTTTCGCCGCTGAGAAAGCGTATAAAAGTACGCTCTTCAACACTTTTATATCGTTACTGTAACCCTCAGAATAGTGTATGTTTTCCTACCTGAAACACGTCTATAATCTTTAGCGGTACATGAGTAACAAGGTTGCGGGTAACTATGGAAATTCGTCCCATTATAAATATTAGATGTGGTATAGATAATTTTATTTATTAAAGTCTTTACTAACATGTGAATTATTAATGAAGATACAGTTGCTACAAGATAAGAATGCTATTCACCTTCAAACGATTGTCCAGAAGTTGTCGCACAAGTCTGCAGAATACGCACGTATGAGGCGAACAATATGTCTAGCATATGCCGCACGTCCAACATTGAATGAAATGTTACATAGCTCTATGAAGAATGTTCGAGGATAGTGAATAGCTAAATGACTGACACAGGATAAGTCTCCACGATGCATTGTTTCTAATCACGTGGATATTTATAATCAAACTGTAATTTCATAGTCATCTACTGTACGTAGCAATGGTCTAATTGCCTTCTACAATATTTGCAACCAGACTTTGGAAACCTGACGTATGTCGCGCGAGTTTAATTTATATGATATGTGTAACATGATAATTGTTTCCAGCTATTCCATCGTACCTGTTTAACTGCTTGGAAGTTCTAAATTTCTAGCTATTATCAAGTTTTCATCTTTCTCAAAGGTCATGACATTGAAGCTTTGGAAATTTTTAAGGTAAATCATTTGCGCTGATCATATACATGTAATTACTATAGACTTAAATATTGACACTACGCCCTATAAGAATGGCACTGGACTGTTAGTTTTGATATTTGCTCGACACAGAAACACTCTAATATGCTATTTATTTACGAAAAATACGAAAAAAAAAAAACGTCATGGTATAACTCATTTTGTTGACGCCTGACCAATAAATATTGTGCAATGGTTTAACTTTGAGCCTCAATCTAGCTTTATCTAAGTGCCTCGTCTAGCAACTTTAATCAAACGTACTTCACTGCTCAACGTCGGCGGAACTGGAGTTCAACAATGAAAACATCTCGCTGAGGCTGAAAGCGAGTGGAAGGTTCATTACATATGCCTGTGCAGGCGGAAGTGTCCACGTGGCAGTTGAATCTGTGCTTTTCAATGGGCAATAATTGCTCATCATCACCTAATTCCAACCCTCTCCCTAATTATCACTGCACAGTTGCCGAGTCACGCGTCGGCCGTCATGCACATATACATTGTTTAGGAGTAAAAAACATTCTAAAATATTAACCTAGCTGAATCTCTGCTCACTCTTGCAGATACAATCCTCATAGACATCGAGTTGATTGCTTCATGTCCCCAACACCTTTCTTTCCTCCGTGATGAGTCAACGGACAATAGTGCCTCGCCGATGGGGAACGGACTTACTTCCCAGCTTCCTTTCGCCAATTTGGAGCTGGGCAGCTTATCTTTTGAGTGTTGAAAGTGTAGGTGGTAAAGGAGTCATTTCATGAATACGGTACGGATCAAGGGGCACGAAGGGTCACGAAGGCACAGTTCATGTATATTAGGCGGCCTTCCCACCTCACTCAGATGAAGTAGTTCAGTTGAATGTAACCCTCATATACCTTCCATTTCAGTATTGAGCAGCATGACTTCCTGACAACGTGTCATTCATTACCATGAATTGACGAAGATAAAACCTTAAGTAAGTTATATCAACACACCCTTCCTCCAGCCATATGGGCTGTTAAAAACTCACCTTAAGAGAATTCATTACACAGCTATCCTCGTCAAAATGACGTGTTCAAAATAGCGATACAGTAGACTAAGCGACGGCGATTTGTTGTGTCATGCCGGCCGGTAATTAGTATAAAAATGGATGAGAATCAGTTCCTACACCTGAAGCTATGTAGAATACCATTTGAAACTGGTACTTCCTTGCTATCTATTCTTTCTAACCCCGTTATGTCTCTGCCAAAGAAGACTTCATAGCCTCACGTCTCACGAAGGGGACTTTGCAAGGTGCGCGTTCTGGCGCCGTAGGCGTCACAAGCGGTACAGACAAAGGCACTCTGTATATAGTATCGGCAGGAGGACAGGATGTGTGAGATTGTGAGAGGAAGTGAATTACACGGACCGTACGCGCGTGTACGAGAAAAGACGATTAAAATCCGACGGTGGAATTACATAAAATTGAAGTGAGAAGTGCCTGGAATAAGAATAAGATTAGTCTCTGTGACTTTCGGGACTTCTAATCCTCATACTTGTAGTTATACCCTTACGATGACTTCATTCATGCGAACACGTAACTAGAGTTAACTGTGCAACAGGATATGAGATAGACTAAAAATCCATCTAATGATATATACAAACGGGATACATGGCCCTTCTATTGTCCATGTGACGTATGTCGTGACTACGTAGGTAGTGATCCTTGAGCCTCTTAGGCTACATCACTCACTAGGAAAATCTGTGTGACAAAGGGCTGGAACGAAGCTATTCAGACAACAATAATCCGATAGGGCTTATAAGATCCTTAGCTACGAGGTTCCTTGACGTCCTAGGTGATCGACTTTGCTAATTACTATCCATATATAACTGTATAGCCTTAGCTAGCGTCTGCTGAATCGTCAAAGCCGGAGATGTCTCATTACTAACGAAGCTTGTATAATCTCACTTTTCAATACAAGACTGCATATCTTACGAAGTACTATGAAGGGTTCTTTCGCAACGCGCAGCTATAAGCGATCTACATTACATGTTCAGCTATACGCGCGTAGCAATATATAACGTCAAAGCCCAATGCAACAAAAATCTCGAGATTAAAAAACAGTTCTATTTCTAAGTTTTAATATAACTATACTTTTCATTCATTTTCATCATCATCACAACGAACATTGTCTATTATGATAATTATAATCAAACGCTTGCAGGACGCCAACCAGATGCGTGAGCGTGGCGACCACGACCAAGACGTGGAAGATCTGATGCGACGACCCGAAGACGTCAAAGGCCCCCGGCTTGATGCGCTCGGGGAACCGGAACTATGTTACGTGTTTACCGATTAGCCCAATCTCCGCTCTTACGGCTTCGGTTTAAGTAGGTATATTCACGTTGCATACACATCGGTCGGTTGGTGAGGTGGTGAAGACAAGACTTATTCTGAGAAAAAATATACAATCGATCATGCAGGTTCGAGCAGGTTACAGAGGGGAACTTACCGCGTACGCGACGGCGCCGAGCAAGAACAGCCCGCCCTCGGCGAAGTAATACGGCAGACCGGACTGCTTGGCCATCTGGGCGAAGCCGAACATGTGGATGCCGTGGATGATGGGGGCGAGGCCCGACAGGCCCGTGACGACGAGGACGACGAGGCGGAAGGTGCGCCACTTGAGGCCTTGAAAATACGGCGCCACCATGATGATGATGCTCAGCGCGCCGAGGGACGCGCTCATGGACCAGTAGATCTTGCGCTCTAGCGCCTCGCACCAGAACCCGACGTAGATGCCCGAGACGAAGGACCCCACGATCAAGATGATGATGCCGACGAAATCGAGGCGTAGCCAGCGCGCCTCGACCTCGCGCGAGTGGCTCATCAGCGTGTGGTACGCGCTGGATATGCCCAGACATGTCGCGGCGGCCGACAGCAGGAACGCGAAGATGACGTAGTCGCTCGGGCCGACGCGGGCGTACTTCTGGGAGAGGTACGAGAGCACCCATGCCTCGCCCACGAAGAGCGCCGCGACGGCCGGCACGAGGTGCGTGTAGATGTTCAGCGTCTCGTTGTGCAGGAAGCCCCAGCTGCGCAGGCAGGCGCCCGTGCTGCGGGAGATGGGGCGGTACGAGTGTCTGATGAAGGGGTTGTCCTGGTGCCAGACGGGCAATTCCTCGTACGAGATGAGCCCGTGCTTGTGGGATTGCGCGCGGCGCTGCGCGTCCGCCTCGGCGTCGCGGGCCACGGCAGCATTGATGTCGTCGATGTCGACGTTGACCCAGACCGTCTCCGGGCGCTTCTCGTCGCCTGATGACGTCCGCCGGCTGTCGCTGCTGCTGGCGTTGGCGGGATCCGGCTCAATGTGGATTGATGTGCTGGATGCCATGACGAATGGCTCACAGGCTCTCTAGAAAAGATCGCTGAATCAAAATCTAAAGTAATCATCTAATGAAGAAGAAATGAGACAAGAAAAGGGGGGGAAAGAGGAATGATAGTATGAAGTCGTTCGATGGAATTCGCATCGTGAGGTAAGTGAGCAAAACAAGTAAATTAGATAGATCCAACGGCTAAGATGCCGGGAGGCGGAGAAATTGCGCTTGCGAAAACGTCCTGCCGAGGCGCCGCTATTGAAATTCTCAGGAGAGAGAGGAGAGAGAGCACCGTAAATTGAGCTGCACAGCGACGATTCGGGACTCCTCAATCTCCAGTTTACTAAGCGAATGACGGCTAGAATTGCAACCCCCTGGATTTCTTCGCCCCCCCCTCAGCGAGCGAACACCATCCCATCAGCCTTGTCCCGCCCGACCAAGGCGCGCCGAGGGTTGTATTGATTGGCGCGGTGACATCACCGGATTCCCGGATGGGTGATCGTGCTGTGGAGAATCTAGCGTATGTTACTGTGAAGATCCAAGCTGATGTTGTGATTTTGGGCTATCGAGTAAGCAAGCAGGGGTATAAATGAGCAGTCAAGTTCCTTCAGAAAGCGAAGACAATGTCAAAACGCGACGCTGAATGAACATTTAGCATATCAAAACAGTGCCAGGTTAATTGTTTTGCGATGTCGGCTTTTCGGATAACAATGGCGATCAGATAGCGTTTCATATTTCTCAATATGCATGGATCCGACGCGACAGACGGAATAGTCAATAAACCTGCCCAGCCGCTACTGCAGATAAAGGAGGTCAACACTCAACCATCACTCCCACCAGACTAACGCAAGATCATGTTGATCGCTAAATCGTTAAAGCGAGCCAACATATTCGTGACAATAAAAAATTGGGTTGAACATGCGCTGCTTCAAGAAGCTATTAAAGGATTAAGTATGCATCGTGGTTAGATCTCGCGGGCCCTGGGTATTGGAAACGCAGTCAAATCAACCGATGTGGCGTATAACTGCAATGTCTACTTATGTCGGGGATATCAATATGAAGACAACACCGACAAGGTTCATGCCGTCACTGCTGGTGATGTTGTCGTGGTGAGAGGAAGAGAGATTGAGAAAAGGAAGGAAAAAAAAAGAACTTTGGCCAATGAGGGAATCGAACCCTCGGTGCCTAGCGATGCTGTTTAAGGATACGAACGCTGAACGCTAGTAAGGATATTAGGTAAAGATGCTTCGCTAGACCGTTCCAACTCGGCCATTCGCGTACATACTGTCTCGCTTCTTTTACTACGCCTAAAGTTAAACTGGTATATATACCCTACTACAAGGCGGTTACCTGAAGTATGCGGACGGATGCGTGAGTAGGTTGGAGGCTACATGTAAGAAGTAAGAGCGGCTTGTGACAAGTATGGACCGATGAGTGGTCCTTCGGGTATCATCGGAAAATCAGAAGTCGACAATGGCGAACGGACAGTGACCACTGTGTATAAAACCACTTACTATATGCAGGACATTGTTTACAATTGGCTTCCGACTTACGATATACTGGCCTTTGGCGGCTTTGGCATGTGTGCAATGAGATGGCTGTAAGAAGTGGTGACTTACCTGCTTAAAATCGTGAGTCACGGTCGCCCATGTGACCACCTTGACACATACCATGGGGTTGCTCAGCTAAACCTGTCTCGAAACAGATTCTGGAGGCTTCCACGTCCAACTTGACGTCTATCCATGGATGTTCATAGCCCCATCGCCGTAGGTATGTCCGGTTTCAATAGGTACCCCTGATTGTTTGGGCCGGCTGCTAACTGAAGTTGTGAATCGCGATGACGATTTGAAAGTTTGCTGTGTACACATAATACAAGCAGATACCAACACGAAGTAATCTGTCATGTGCAAGAACAGAGAGTCATCTTGCTGACACGTTCCAACGAGAACCGTAAATATAAGTCTTCGTTGCCGCCTGCGCCTCCGCCATCGAGAAACGTACCCAGCCAGTCATTTCAAATACCAAGATGCTGCTTGCCAACGCGGCAGAAATTCGTGCCTGGACAAGATGGGTAAGGGTACGGTGACTGATCCTGTTAAATACTCGTGTTCAGGTTCGTTGGCCCCCGGTGTCTGGTCCTCGAACTGCGCACGATACGGCTGTGCTGGCTAGTAATTCGCTCTCAAATAAAATTGAAAGTAGAGTCCACGTGGTTTCGTGCAATCGCCCCAAACAAGACAATTATCAAGACGCAACATGAAGGATGCACCGACCTGGGCTCTGTCAGGCCTGCGAGTCCATTTCCAATGTGCACGGAGGATGCGAGCCAAACAGTTTTGTAGAAGTTTGCGACTAGTGCAGAGCAGAATTGGCAATAAAGCGACGACATGTGCTATGTTTCTGTGCACGACAATACGTCTCATTGTTGATCGCGTTGTGTTGTTAGGTGCCGACTGTTGGGCGCAAGTCGGACGCGACCAGTGCCGTAAATCCACAGTGGCGATTCCAAGTCCCTTGTCTGGGCAAAGCCAGGATGGCGCCGAATTCAAGCCTGTGATATACGCTTCTCTTAAATATGAGATAAAGTGAGTTAATAATGATGATAAGAGGCCAGCGCATGCATCTCTTTTCTTCTTCGCCGTCGAAGTCGTGTTGTTGTTTTGGCGTCAGATCGGGGAAGGCCGGCTTGAATGCGTGGCTCGCCTAGGCGCGTGCCCCCTCGATCCACCTGAGCAGATCATGTGTTCCGGCCATTTGAGTCGTAGTTGCTGGATTCTAACTTGGAAATGCACAGAATGAGGTCGAAACACACCAAGCGACCGAACAAACCTACATGAAAGTGCTTTTGTAACCTAGTGTTGTTGTTTGGGAGTGATTTCATACCACCAGAGACCATGTTGGGTGCGACAAGGTGGCCCAATCGACCGAGACTGGATAGCCTCGAGCTCACGATCAGCTGAAAACAAGCAAAGGCAATACTAAATATGAAGAAAATTTATGCTATCGATATTGCGCGACGATCACGTATTTGACACTCTGACAATTTGGATCGGAAAATAAAATGGCAAGGCGTTGGAGGTCGGGACGGTGTGTGATGATTCCAGGCGTGGATAGCTTCTCTTTTGCGCGGACGCGTGGCAGAGAAGACTAGTCCAACCGTTTGGTGCCTCATGGGCTATAAATCATGGAAAGCGGAAGAAAGCTTCCGGGGTCTGGAAAAAAGGTGCAGAGAAGGTGCATCAGAATTGAAACATTGTCGGTGAATAATCAAATAGATTTAGACACGTCATGTTGAACGAGATTGAGTGTTGTGGCCCGAAAGGTGGGAAAATCAGACAACACGGCACATCGAATGATAGCAAGTTGTGGGAGCGACTAGAGACGGGCCCTAGCGCCGTGGCTTTGCCCCAGCGTCGAGGCAGATCTTGCCGACCGGCTAGAGCAGGAACATGGACGAATGGGTCAATTGATGGAGAGATCGGCCAACAAGTGTGGGAGCATCAGCGGAAGAAGCGAGAGAAGGCGAGGACGAGAGACGGGCGTCCGAGGGGGGATGGCTGAGAGTTGGGTGAGAGAGTTTGGATTTCGAGACGGAGGCGCATGATTGCACTACACGCAGAATTGGAGTATGCAAAATGCTGGCAAGGCCGTCTCGACCAATCAGAAAATTCGGGCTGGACAGATCGGGGGGACAGTCAGATGGAATACTATGAATGTGATCTCTGTTCTCCCTCTCCCTCTCCCTCTTCTTCTTCTTCTTCTTCTTCTTCTTCTTCTTCTTCTTCTACAGACTCATCACAGTACTAGGCTACCAAGTCCTAGAATTAGCAACGGTGTATCGTTGGCTAGGGTGTGATGAAATAAATGGAATTTTGATCAGACAACATGACACTTGGCTATCACTTAAGTAGGTATTTTACTATGTAAGTAAGCTATGTTAAGTGGCGATACCAGGCGAGAACAACACGGGTATCGGGTATCATGATGTGATGGAGGCAGGTAGAGAGATCTCTGTGTGAATGCGCGAGGCAGATGGTCCCTATCCAATGACTTAATCAAGTACTATATCGATCTGGAATCTGCCTAGAAATGCTAGTCTATCTCTAGCTAGGCAGTGCCATGTGGTTTATACATGTAGAGGCGAATCATTAAATGCCATCCGAGGGGGGACGGGGACGGGGATGGGAGAGATGGTAGAGAAGCCGAGAGGCCAGAAGAGAGAGTGTGTGAGTGAGTGAGAAGGAGGAGGAAGAAGGACGAGTAGTAGTAGAGTCGTCGTCTGTGAGAGTGAGCATGAGTGTGAGTGAGTGCGTGCGTGCGTGCGTTGCGTGGGCGAAGTTCCAGACTCGCAGAACTCCCAGATCACACTGATCCCTGCAGGTATCCAATCAATAAGCTCGGAATTGTCTGATTGGCTGCATCGAAACCCGGTAAAAGCTGCAATTAAATAGCTAACGACAAGACGACACATCACACACATCACACATGTGTCAAAATAGACGCCAATTCACCCGGTCTAAACCAAAAAGGGCAAAACAGCAAGTGTTTCAAAGAACCAAAGCAGCCAGACATGCTATGCTACATCACCTGCCTCTTCGCTTGCTTACTTTGGTGCCTCGACCACCCAGACCATCCACGAGCAGATGGAACATGCAAGACAACATGCCGCGCCCAGGTCGAGGTGGGTAAGAACAACACCTGATGAACGAATGCTATACTGTAGCTACAACATTGCATGGGAGAAAGAGCGCCGATGCAAACACTACCTACCTACCTACCTCCCTATCCAGATAACCATCGAATATGCTTATTGTTGAAGTAGAAGGACCCGATACTGCCTATACAGTAGGGTTGATGGATGGGTGGATGGGAATCGTGGGCGCGGTTGTGTGAACAATACTGAATTTTGCAAGATATGGTCCGTGACTCACCAGGCATGTTCTAAGATGAGGTGATCTACAATAGAGAGACGCATTTATTAATAAATGCTCACCTCCTCACCAACCAACAACACGAACAACTGTGTAGGTATGTAATGTAGATGTGGGGAGAAGGATGAGCTGGGCATCGACAGAGACAGACGGGGGATGGATGATGAGCGGAAGAAGGATGTCAAGAATCTCCAACAACATAGAATGATGTGAGAAAATAAAACACCAAAAATAAAAGAGCAAAGCGGAATCCACATCTAGCGTAGAGAACAGAATTAAATGAAACAAAATAAAATAATAATAAAAAGGTTCATAGTAGGTAGGATGAGGTCGAGAGTAGGTAGCAATATCTAACCTTTGTCCCACCTGCCCATCTATCTACCTAATCCATGGATCAAGATGTACCTACCTGACCTTGGGTACCTATAATTAACGGGCCTGTAGTATATTTAAAGCTATCTATTAGGTAACTTGGGGAGGGCAGCTACCTGAGGCTAGCGGCACGGGCAGGGCTGCTGCTGCTGCTGCTGTTCGACCCTCCCGCACCTGGGATCCTCCTGCAACGCCCACAGAGCCCAGAGCCAAGAGCCAGAGGGGCCGCTAGAGGGGCTGCCAGAGGGGCTGCCAGAGGGGCCCCGGCACTCCCAGAATACACTGAAGCAGACACTGAACAATAACCTGAACAGATACCTAGGTAGGTAGGTAGGTAGGCAGGTATTTATTTTTTTGGGTTTACTGATTGTGCACCTCCCATCCCCCCACTTCACTATAAGAGCTCTCTCACCTGCTCGCCGACGCGCCGCCAGCGGCACCCTCCCTCCATTTCCATTTCCCTCCCATCTCTCTCTCACCCATCGCGTCGCCCAACAGCTTTAACAGACTCGATCCAAGTCGATCTAGGTCATTCAGCACTCCGTCTTTCCATCTCTCCAATCAATATCTCAGTTTTTTAACCCCAACACCCTTCAATTCCATCCATCGCAATGGGTCCCAAGAAGGCAGACGGCGCCGCGGCTACTGCTGCTCCCAAGGCCAAGAGCACTCACGCCTCTTACCAGGTATGCACAGCTATGATTGCTCGAGACGACCCGACAGAAGGGTGACTGGTTCCAATACTGACCGTTTGCAGGATATGATTACTGAGGCTATTCTTGCTGTAATGCTCCCCGTTCCTTTGTTTCTGGCGCATCGAGTCTAGCTCTCTGTTGGTCGCGCCGGGCGCACGATGCATGCTCCGATGTGTGGCCCTCATGTTGACACATGGGTGCCCGCATCACCTCATCCACTTATTCATTCATTCGTCTATGTCAATGTGTCGTCTTGCTAATATGCTTTATGCTACAGCTTAAGGACCGCACTGGGTCTAGGTATGTAATGAATGTCACGCGCCATGGCCTACGCAGCTACCTGGCGATCCAAATAGAAGGATGCACCAAGCTAACAAGGACATAGCCGTCAATCACTCAAGAAATATGTCAAGGCCAACAACACAATCAACGCCAGTGACAACATGTTCGATTCATTATTCAACAAGGCACTGAAGGCAGGTGTCGATAAGGGTGTTTTCGAGCAACCCAAGGGTATGTCGGCATAATCTCATTCCTACCTTCTCCTCTCAACCTAGGGGGAAAGTAGAGACTTTGTTGGTCGATGATTCTAACGAGTCATAGGTCCCTCTGGTACCACTAAGCTCTCCAAGAAATCTAAGGAGGCTGCCGCCAAGCCTGCTCCCAAGAAGGAGAAGGAGGGAGACAAGGAGACCAAGAAGGCCGCCCCGAAGAAGGAGAAGGACAGTGCTAAGAAGGCAACCACAACCAAGAAGCCAGCTGCAGCCAAGAAGGAGAAGGAGGCTAGTGAGAAGAAGCCTGCTGCTAAGAAGGCTGCCGCCCCCAAGAAAGCTGCCCCCAAGAAGGCTCCTGCCGCTAAGAAGGAGAAGGACGTATGTCAGAACCCCGGCATCCTTCCGAGTACCAAGCTAACTGACTGCCAGGCCCCTGCTGCTGCTGAGAAGCCTGCCGCGTTGGCAAAGACAAAGACTGGCCGTGTGTCCAAGGCGGCTGCTGCTAAGCCCGCTACTAAGAAGGCGGCGCCCAAGAAGGCAGCGGCACCCAAGAAAGAAAAGACACCAAAGAAGGAGGCGAAGGCCGAGGCTGCTACCTAGGGTCTTACCCGGCATCGCACCTGGGCAGGCAAGACTGTGTGAATTTGGTGTTTATTTTTGTCTTATGCGTGGAATCGGTCCAACTGGCGTTTAGGGAATCAGGGTATAAAGAGATGCGCGCATGTGTATTGTGTATGGTTTCATCATGCAAGGGGTTTTGGGGGGCATATGTTTGGGTTGCTTGTTTTTTTTTCTGCTCTCAGGGAATCGGGAGTGGTGGGTTGAACCTTTTCTACCCGAAAGGTTTTTACATGAATGGGTGCGGGGGGTGTTTGGCCACGACAATGCTACTGCTACTCATCGGCAAGGAAGGGAGGTTTTTGTTGTCGATTGCTTTTGAGTGCGTGGGCGGGAATTGCACATAACTCTTACGGTCATAACATCAGACAGAGGGGTTTGACGATTGACGAAAGAAAGCTACACACCCTGTAATTATACCAATGACCAAAGGCGTTTTTACATTGTTATATTTGCTGTTCTCGCGCCTTGACTACGACCTGTGCACTTGTCTATTATCTTGCCACCTTTAACACCTATGTAAAATCTGCCAAGGTAAATGCATGAAATGGACATGATACCAAGATAGACTCGTCCTGGATGATACCGTGGTTGACGCGTCTTGTTCGGACGGTGGATCGAGGGAGGGGGGGGCCCCCGGAATCCGTGTAAGTGGTTGTGTTGTTTACATGGACATTCCGAAAACGGCAATCAGCTTGGTTTGGTTTGGTTCAAGGATGGGCCCCGTTCTTGTTGTCGATAAGGGGCATCACGTGCGAGGGGTTCCCGTCCACTTGGCTTATAAGTAGGTACCGGTATGTACAGTAGAGCTTATGTAAGGAACTTACCTAACTTTAATAGCGCTGCACTTTAAATAGGTACGTACCTAGGTATGTGGTGTAACGGGCGTTCGCGCTAAAGATCTTATGGCGTGTTACCCGCTTGGGTACTTAAGGTAGGTATAATACCTAGGTACATACCGTATGTAGGGATTCCTTCGCAACTATTTTGGCGGTGGGTGGATTGTCGAGATGTTGAATTATGCAAATACGAATGCTTTGAGAATACCGAACTTGTAATGCGGAGTAAGATATAAGCTATACTATAAGACCTGAAGCCTGTCATCAGCTTTGCTTGAATCTATAGTTGAGTAGGTACACCAGGTAAAGTGTACTGTTGGCAGGTACGGTGGGCGTGGCTATTACCCCTCACAGTGGATTCCTTCAGTTAACTAGAACTTCTACTCAACAACATCAATATAATCGAAAAGTACAGGCGATCTTTAGCGCGAATTCACGTTACTACATATTGTAGTAAAGACTGGCTACCTAATCACATCGAGCTTTGCTTCTTCCCTAACTACGGAGTAAGTGCCTAGCATGTTACGAATCGGCCTGGGTGTCACGTTCGACGAGACTTCCTGCCTCCCTGCTCACGGACGCGCCCTGAGGCCAATGAGCTGGTAGATGAGCTGGTAGCCTCGGGAAACCGCCGCCGTCACTTGGGAACCGAGCGTGTTCTGGGTTTTGCGTCATCCATGGGTGATACTGTGCCTCGCTTGCATCCTGCTGCTGAATGGAACGCAGGCTGTCAGAGTCAGTACCCTCGTGCATATCATCGCCCTGCATCTGTTCAGTGGTCTGCGCAACTCCCGGCGTGGTAGTGGCGAGCGGTTCTGGGGTATAATCAGCTATCATGTATCCCGGCTCGATTTCTTCGCATTCAGAGCCGGACGAGACGGAACATAATCGCGGGTGCAGCGGTTGCGCCAGATCCAGACAGCCCAGGACCTCGTCCTTCTTGGTCACCGGGATGTCCTCGGTGGCGCGCGACCACGTGCCCCATCCCACGCCCTCGTGGGCGAGGCGGTGCAGCTGGAGACTCTCGTTGCTTACCCACTCGAGATACTTGTACTGGTTGTATCTCCTTCGCCGGTACAGACACGATAGGATCGGCTCGATGGAGAACGAGAGCGCGATCAGCAGGGCGCCGCCGAGGAATAGGGTGTATAACCCGAAAACGTTGAATGACATGTATGCAGTCGATCGAATATTCTATTGGTTTGTCGCATTGTGTTAGTGTGCGCTTGATGATTAGCGACCGTGGTTTTCACACACCTGGTTGGCACAGATAGTAGACCCTTCGGGTGCGCTGATGTACTTGTCCAGTCGTTTATCAGCTGGTCCGACCACGCTGTCGAGGAAATTACTCTGCATATTGGCCAGCATGATAGCCCACCAAGAGAGCACGTCGGATTGCCACTGGTCTGCGAGTATTGGACCTTGGACGCCGGTACTTAGAGTCCGTTGTGTGGTGAGAGCCCGGGCTTGCAAAGTGTTGAGAACCGTGTTTAACCTAGCTGCTTGCGAGCGAACCCAGTTGAGCCGCAAGGCGGCCGCGTCTGACGGGCTCATGTCCAAGGCGGCTGCCGATGCATCCAGCCAGCTGCCCAGCGCGCTACACTGCTGGCCTTCCGGGAGAGCCCGTTGGCAAAACTGGAACTGCTCTACGCAGCCTAGCGGAGATGCTGCTTCGTTGAATATGAAAGTTTTGGTCATGGATGGATCAGTTGTGCGAGCAACCTCTAGCCATGGCCGCGTTGCTCTGTACCAGTCGTCTTCCGAGCGATCTACGAAGTGTACGCCGTTTCCAGATAGAAAAACGATGGACGGGTCGCCGTCATTCCGCTGAAGCTTCGGCAAGGGAATGTACTCGCAATAGTCTGTCACTGACCCATTGACTATCTCAGCGGGGAACACACTGGAATACAGTTAACCTCTTTCCAAAGGGGGAATGTTGCTGGGCATGGTTAATGCGTACTCTATCTTGTAGTTGCTAGAAGGTAGAGGGTAAGAGTTATTCCTTATGCCGCCGACGTTGTATTGTGTTTCAAGGTCTGGGACCATGTATATGCCGTCGGCGATGAGTTGCTTGGTTGCGTCGGCTCTGAAATATCCATGATGGTACTGCGTGAAGTTTCCCGTGGTTGATTTCACGGTAGTCGTATATCCCTCGGTTACTAGAGGCGCGCATTGCAACGTCCCCCTGTAAAGAACTCTCTCGTCCTCTGGGCCATTCATACCGAAATGGCGATGGGAGTCAAGGTATCCAGTGTCGAGAAATATATTCGACGTGCTACGACACATGCTTTCATCAAACGGACAGGGAGCATCTAATTGCACAGTGCTAGCTATCCGGTTCTCGACAAATCCGTTGCAGTCGAGTGTGCCGGTGCTGTCAGTCGAATAACATTGCTGGGCATAGTTTGCTGCGTTAGTCACCTGGGTGGCGAGAAGTGGCGAAGTCAGTGTCCAGAACTCTGTGATGTTATAATAAGCCTCCGAGGCATTGAGCCAGCCGCATTCCCCGGGTCGAAGCAGCACTTCGTCGCCTGAAGAGACAGACAACAGTGGCAGGACGTACGTAACGCCGGCGAACCCCGCTATACAAGATAAAGCAAGGAGGACGGGAAGAACAGTCCTTCTGATCTGCTTCGCGATAGATTCGTTGGAAAACCAGCTATGACCGAGTTGTACTAGTCTCCATACGGCGGCTTGTGGCGAGGAGGAATTGCGAAGAATGACTTGGCGTTGGTGATATGGCGCGTCCCTGGGTGCGTCCCTGGAGTAGACTTGGTGGCAGCAGAGACAGATAAGCCTCCAGGTTCTCGAGGCTACCAGGGTAACGAAGAATGCGGCGAACGCAATGACAAGATTGCCGTCTCGTTTAGTTAGAGTCAGAGTTGCGCCGAGCACAGGGCCCCGAGACCAGTTAGTCCACTGGCCCAGATAAACAGCACGCTGGTCGGAAGTGACGACATCTTTCCACGCATCCATGGCGGGAAAGCGGTTGATTAGGATCGGGTGGTGGGAGCAAAATATGGAATGATATTGTAAATGGAGCGGTCAAATATCTCTTACTATGAACTGGGCCGTGACTAGGTGGGTAGATATAGAGTGCTGCCACGGCCAGCCGTATGTTTGTATGAATCCTGGCCCGATTACCGACCCTTCATTATGGCTGTGATAGCCATGATGTTGGTGTCACACAATTATCTAATTTTGGCAGCCGCAATACCTTGAATGCTACCCAGCACGTGCTTGTCGTAGTCTGAATCCAATGTGTGCAGCGCGAACAGCAAGCGGAGATATGAAACATTCATTCCTCCCATACGTCGATTTTGAAGCCTCTCTATACTTAGTAACATGCAATGCCATTCAATAGGGGGCGAGGTGTCCATAATCTGCCTTGACTTCGTCTACGGCAACGATTTCATTCGCCGTAGAAGTGTGCTGATATGCAGGCTCTGGTACAACCTAGAGGCGAAGCTATATACATATGTGACTTTGGAGTAACCTCAAATGTAAGCGACCTAGAATCGCAGAGGGTAAGGCGCTATACTTCTGTTTTCTGCTGTTACGTCTGCTCCTAGCCCCCACGTGATACCGATGACCGGGAGGTGGTAGTGGCAGTGGTGTGCTGGAAAGCTAAAAGAAAACTCGAAAATGGAGTATAGAATAGGGATAAGTACTTGTTCTAACCTGCTTCTTTATTGTTGCTACGTGTTGAGATTACGAGTTTATGGTCGGTGATACTCTGTACACGATGGCACTTGAGATAGCTGAAATAGAACCTAGGCACGGTTTACCACGCGTTATCCCTCTCTTCGTTCTTGATACAGCCAGTAAAGCAGCGGGAATTGCAGCACATTTCGTGCCTACGAAACCATGTCAGAGTGTGTTGTATTGCGTTCGGTTATCTAGTCTCTTGAAACTTGGCGTGTTGTTAAGCTGTGTAACGGGAGTTCGCGGTGAAGATGGTCTGTGCTTCTTGGTCCACTTTGACTACCTATATCTGTTCGTGTTACTCAGGTACCTACCTACCTACCTACCTACCTACTCACCCGTGGATTTTGGTGGGCAGGGTTGAGAATTGGATATGGTTTCATCTGACTGGTTTCTGAAGTACCTACTTACTGAATGCACATATCTTTGTACCTACCTAGGTCATTTGATTCATTCGATTCCCCACGTGTTTACACGTTGTTGTGCACGTCTGTATAGTACTTAGGTATCTGCACCCTGCAATCGGCGCTGTCACCGTGCTTTGCGTTGCTTGTGTCGATCGATGATTTGCAGTGCTCCACTGGGGTAGACCCTTGCCAAGTTCTTCAGTGATGTACGTAGTACTGCTGGGGCTTTTGCGAAGATAAAGATAAAGAATTACGCTTAATTGCACGACTGCGCCTGTTGTGATGGAGCTTTTAGCGCGATAGGGGGCATTGTGTAACCTTTTGCTGATTCAAAATGAAGATGAGATGTCAGTAAAACCGAACGCGCACCGGGTACTGAACCCCATAGATAATACATAATTATATACTACACCGGGTATGCCAACATATCATGAATACTATCTACAGTACTCATTCAATTGAATTCAAAACTTGTCTAATTCCTGCGCCGTGATGAAGTAGGCTCATCAATATGAGGTACAGTACTTATGTATGAAATTTGAAATATAAGCTTGGGAAAACTCGAGCTGCATTTTAGTCATGGTGATACAGATACAGGTACGGTACCTGTCTCGTTGCGTCAACTCGACTTACGTCACGCACTAACGGCAAGGTTAAGTTCAAGTACCCCATCTATATCATAGATATTACGTATGCTAATAACTATAGCACTCCAAGCTTGATCTATGAAACCTCATCTATACTTAGGACAGTTTATAGAAGAGAATTTAAGAAATGCCAAAACAGTACTGAGCGGTAATGATTCGCACATGCTGACCATCTACAAATGTGCCCTGGTTCAATTGCGTAAGCCTGGATGTGGAATGGAATGGAATGAAATGAAATGGGTGCCTTACAATCAGTATTCGCGTTAGGCATCTATTTTCGGGGCGCTAGAGGTCGGCAGCTATGTACCTCTGTCGGTACTTGAGTGGTAGTCTTATTACCTAGGTACCCATTTACCGATCTGATACCTATCCTAACCGGGGTTTGTTGCAATTCATTGTTCAATGAAATAAACTTTCTCAGATTAGATGAAGCTCAGTTAACATTAAGCATATTTGTGACATGAGGTATAATTGACAGATCTGCACCTGTCACTACTAGGTACACCTAAAGCTCTATCACATGTTGGGAGGTAAGTAGGGTAGGTATCTCTAATGTACAGGGTGCCCACTCTCTGTAGGCAGCCACTAACACCCAGGTACATGGTAAGTACTTACTTACCTTACACAACAAGATAGGGCTTAGTTTAGGTAGCCAAGTTCCCCCCTGTCTTCTTCCTTTGTGTTCCCTGACACCCATCACCACTCCACTGCGATCACCACTGCGCAATACCTACAGTACGGTACTATGTACTTACCTATAGAGTAGAGTACTTACTAGGTACCTACCTAGATTAAGACACAGAGCCGGGGCCCTGGGATCGGCCGTATCGGGAGCTCCCTTTTGGCTCATTCTTATCAAACTCCCTCCCACTTCCAAGGTTACCTACTTACCTACCTCTTACTCACTGCCTATATACAGCATCCATGCTGCCTGCCTGCCTATTGCTGCCTCCGACGATGACCACTGATTGACTGCAGCTGGTCTGGCCTACATGTCGTCCTTCTTCTCCCGAGAACCAACCGGCTGTGTTTGTCGTCAGCGCTCCCCGGCACTCCCACCCCGCTTAACCGCGTCTTCCGATCGAATCCTGTCATCGAGACCGATCGTCTAGTCCCCGCCCCATGCTGTCGTGCGTCGTAGCCGGGTAGATGGTTTGTGCGACACGTGTGTGTGTGTGTGTTTGTGTGTGTGAGTCGACCTTCAAACAGCCCGAAGTGACGGCCGTCAAAGAAACCCTCGACACGCACCATCCGTTGCGCAACACAGCGCACGCAGCGTACACAGCGTACACAGAGTCGAGTCGAACAGATCTGGCCCACTGACTGCGACTGACTGCGACCGCCTGCGACCAGCCTGCTGCCAGCCTCAGTCCATACTCCACGCCCACGTCCGCGTTCACGTCAACCGCTGTTTTCCAAGCCATCTCCTTGGGCTAGGCATCGACTTACTCAACCTCGGGCTCCATACTTGCGCCTCGCGCCTATCATGGGGCTTGATACGACTATGATATAACACCCCTTCTCTCAACGATTGCAACGTGTCCCCCAATTCGCTGTTGATATCGCCGCTATCTTTGACCATGTCTTCAGGCGGCCAATTCGGTTCCAATAACCCCTTTCGCCGGAACCAAGGTGCTGTTGTGAACCCCGCCACATCTTCGGGCTCGGACTTGAGCTTCGGCCTCGATGGGGCCACACCTCCCCCTACAGCCTCAACTCGGGTTCCTCACACTACCTTCAAGTCCGCTGTGCCGGAGGACGAGAGGCGGGATGAAGAAGAACAACCTGTACAGCAGAAGCCTAAAAAGATCGTCAAGAAAGTCCGCGTGCAGTCACCACCACCCTCGTCGCCCGAAGATGCCGTTCCTGTGACAAGGTTCCCCCCGATAGAGCGGCTAGGTGACTATGACGACGAGGACAGTGCTAGTCAGTCTAGCAAGAGTGACGACCAAGCCGAAGACCCGTTTGGTGCTGGCGTAATTGATCCAAATAGCAGGCTCACATCGGAGCCACCTCTCCCACAAATTCCTCCAAATCCCTTTGCCAGAACATTACAGGATATTGAAAGAAGGGGTCAAGCACATGATGTGAACACTACTGATGCTGCTACGAGCGCGTCTAAGGGTTCGCTTGATGTTGATTCCTTCAAACGTTTACTGTTGACTGGTTATGCGAATCTGCCTACACCAGGTCAATCAGCTACGGATTCCCCTGGAAACCTCTCGAGGGCGGCTCCGTCACAGGGAGCTCTGCCTGATGGTGGCAGTGCTACAGACACAAGCTCCGTGTCCAAACAGTCCATTTTTGATGCTCTACATGATACTCCAAGGACATCTCATGAAATATCCGAGTCTGAAGCATCAGAGGAACGTAGAGGTATTCTTCCCACGTCTCCATTAGCGGCAGTCCCATCTGCCTCGGCACGCAAAAAGCCACCCCCTCCAAGCTCGAGGCATGGTAAGCTTATTAAGATTGATTTGGGAGCGGGCTCGAACCGTCATGATGTAAAGCCTGCTACTCCTAAGGGCTCGGATCTCGCCTCACCACCCGGAACTACTCCGTTAAAGACCAGCTCTGATTCAGATGGTCCCCAGCACTCACCGCAAGGGACAACAAACATAAACAAACCCCTTCCCGAACCTCCTGTACGCGCCTCAATGGACGAAGATGTAGACTCCCCTTTTGATCGGGAGGCAGCCGGAAAGGTACCAGAAGCATTCGCAGAAATACAAGCTCACCCTAGACCCCCAACACCTCCACCCACAGCTCGTAGCCGTTCCGGATCTCAGACTAGTACCCAATCCCGCAAACCTGCTGCACCGCCACCACGCCGACATGGTAGAAGTGATAGCAAAATATCATCACATCATCATCCCACCCATATTGATGAAGACCCTCCAAGGTCGTCCATGGAGTCCAATCGATCTAGGCCAGAGAGTCTACGTATAAGTTCGAACCCTGAAAAGCCGTCCTACGCACCGGCTCCTCCTCCCCCACGGAGGCCTGGTCATTCACGGCAGGACAGTTCCTTTATTGCCAACCCTCACGCCAGCTTTTCTCCGGCAGCAAGTCCTGCTTTCAGCGAAAAGGACCGGGGTCCATGGGGAAGCGACTCGACTCCTTTAGCTTCTCCGGGTATCAAATCTGGCTCGTCACATGGCATCAGCGTCACAGGAGCCGGCATCAATGGACAGATGAAATTGAGTCCTCCACCACCACCACCGACGAGGAAGCAGAGCACGAGACGGCCGGCTAGTGTTAGGAGTATGGAAATCGGCAATGGCCTAACACCGCTGAGAAAAGCGAGTAGAGAAAAGGATGGTATGGCGCCGCCTCCGCCTCCGCCGCCGCCAAGGGCTCGGGGTAGTCGTCCGGCGTCGGAAAGGAAAGGGAGTGTGGGGTCTATTGTTGCTGGGAATGATTCTGCTATGCCGCCGGCCCCTACGGTTCTTGAGAGTGGGAATGGAGATGAGATTTTGGCGGATCTGGATGCGTTGCAGAGGGAGGTTGATGAGTTGATGAAGAAGGGGGGTAGTTAGCTAGCTACTTGGCTGGTTATAGTTGGCATTGATGATGATGATGAAAACAAGGATAACGGGCATCTGACGTTTTATGCAGAGTTGCATCGTCTATGAAAATGGCGTGAGCTTGTGTCCTGTATGTTTATACTACGTTTGGACGAGGCTATATAGCATTGTTTGGATTGGGATTGGGTGATGAGATGGATGAATATTGAATGTGGAAAAAGTAACTGGGTGGAAGATGTTGCGCGTGCGAGCTTATACTAGTGTATGGATGGATGGATGGGCCTAGCCTGGCCTGGATTGGATTGGATTGAGGGCGCGTAGTGTCTGTTTAAATGGAGTGAGGGAAGAGAGGAGAGGAAAGGAAAGGAAAGGGGGAAAGAGAGAAGGGGAGAGTGATTAGCTTCGCGCTTTGTATATTAATCTATTCATCATAATAGCGTCTAGCTTGCTAATGATTTGGTAACGCGGTCCTTTAACTTTTGAAGTGTGAAGTGTGAAGTTGATTGCTTGCTTGCTTACTTGCTTATTTGCTTGTTTTAATTACGGAGGGACGGATTTGTTTATTTAGGTATTTACTTAGTAGGTATTATTTGAAGAAGGGGAGAGGGTGGATATAGATTGGTACGTGGAAGGGAAAGGGGAAGGGAATATCATCACTTAGATGTGTATGGTATAGTACTCGCTCAGATTGCATTTGTATGTTTCTGGTTTTGCGATTGAGAAACGAATTCTTTTTTTTTTTTTTTTTTTTTCTCTCCTTTTCTTCTAAGAAGTAAATAAAGTTAAGTTCTAGAGATCTTGTTGATTACCTAGTTAAAATCCATTGTTTGTAACATGGTAGCTATGGTATTTGGTTCTGATATTCTGGTTCTGGTGTTAAGGGGTAAGGGGGTAAAGGGGTGGTGTCATGGAATAGAATGGGAGTGTAGTACTATGCCGCTACGCTATCCAGAATACAGAAATGACATTACCAGGTCGATACCCTGCGCGCCTACACTCACTATATGGCACTGTGATAGGTGGGAATGCGCTGTTAATAAACTTGGAATTGGAGATGGAGTTGGGTTGGGTGGTATAATGATCTTGTGCAAGATGAGGTGGGGGGATAGTAAAGAAGAGAAGATGGCCATTTGGTTGTGAGATGGGATAGGGGATGGGGAATTTACTATTATGGAAAAGATATAATTATGATCAGTTATAGACAAGCGGAAGGTGATAAGTATTCCAATAAAGGTGATTCATGCGGCTGCATGTGGCTATATGTGTATAAGTTTAACAAGCATGGTCTTTACCAAATGCAAAGCAAGGCTAGTAGTGAGAGGAGATCAACAGCCATACTCAAGCACTGAAGAGATATATACTTTTACGCTAGCAGACAAGGAAATTTATATGCGAATGCCCCCAGGGTATCGGAAGCCTGGAACGTTACTCAAACTATAGAAGGCTCTTTACGGACTTAGAGAATCACCTCTACTATGGCAGAAGGAACTCACTTCATCGCTTACCAGACTAGGTTTCAAGGCCCGTGCTCGAGCTAAATCTTTCTCACGGCGTGGCTGGCTTTGAGAGCCTCTTTGCCGCCATCGTGTAGATGTGTAAAGGTCTGCGCGTTACTAGTTTTGGAGTTTCTCGTTCTGTTTCTCTTAAGCAGTATTTTGATGTGCTTAATGGCCGGCGTAGCCTGCTATGTAGCAGGATGCACGTCCGGACTAAAAAGGTGTTTTTGCATTAATTAGATGTTTAATTATCCCAGTATTCCCTTCTCCTTTGCCTCCGCTGTATTTGTATAATGTTGGCAATGTTATGAAGCCAAAAGAGTGCGAGGTATTCAATTTCTTGATTTCCTTTATAATTATTTAATCATTCTTTTATCTATTTACTACGTAATACTACCGCTAGCAAGCGTATTAGCGGTAATCCAAATTACCTCATTCCAGTAGATATGTTAGATACTTGTTTATAGTAAATAATGCAATGCTATAATCCAAGAGATTTTAAACCGATGAGCTAAGCGTTTACAATTTAAACTACTTATAGTGACTCACCTAGAACCCTAAGCTCGTTAGTACATGTTGATCACCTATATTCGTAACGAAAAACTAATGACATAAAAAATAAGGGCTATAATAAGTCCAATTTGTTAAATAAACCATTTTTATGCTGTATTCGGCAGTACGGTGTAGAAGTGCGGGAGCTTGATCCGCAACAGGCAAATGCCAGCGAGGGCCATCGATGGGAGAGGGCGTTCGGACTCTTTGGGACCAAGATCCTGCCAGAAGCAGAAGGCAGTGATACTTGCAATCCAAGGCGAGGAGGGCAATTACTTGACCACTGGCGATAACTCCGCCTCTTCTGACTCGGTGTGGGGCGAACAATGCGGCCCTACGAATACAGACTTTCCTAGGGACCGAAGTAAGCCCTTGAACAGTAGGTTGGTGCGATACGGGTCGATGGCCATTGTCAACACACCTTCAACACCCGACTTTGGTGAAACAAGCAGTGTGTTAGCACTGCAGACGCCTAAACGTTCAAGGGACGTGTTGGTTACAGCCAGAAATCTGGCTGCTGTTGAGCCTATGCTCAATCAACCTACTGCTCGTCAACTGTTTAGGAAGGTCACTAAGGCCTTCGATAAACTTGCCGCCGAACAAGCAACTATAAAGGAGAAGGTCGATATATTAATGACTGCACTAGATAGAGCAAAGCCAGCTAAGCGTAAAGAATTCCTACCTGACCCAAACAGGGACTTTGTGACTATAAAAGATGTAATAGAAACAAAGGAGGCGATGTTGGGTGATAAGAAGGGCAAGGGCAAGGGCAAGGTTACGGTGGCAGAAGTTGACTAGAACATAATCGAATTAAACTCTGAAAACGACGATGAGGTAGAGGAATGTATTATAGTCCATAATCCTGACTCTGAAGGTGAGAAATTAGAAGATTGCTAGATAATGGTATCTGGTGTAGTCTGCTTCAATTCTTTAATCTCGTGTTTTGAGGTGGCTTTTTTTGAGGGGGGTGGTTTGTCTTATGTTCTGTTCTTAGCTTCAGGTTTTGTAATTTCGTCTCCACAAAGTTTGGGTTCTTGCTTATCTGGCTCAGCCCGGCGGACTCGAAATAGCGCCGTTTCTCTTCGACAAACGAGTCGAAGTTGTCCTCGCTCGCGATGTCAGCCCCTCGACAGATGCGTTGTCTCTTCCGGAAATCCCCGTTCCAGCACGTCAGCTATCGCGAGAACACCCCCGGTCGTCCGGATCCGGAGACGTCAGGTCTCCGAGCCATGGTAACAGCATCTGCGCTCGCGCCTCCGGGGTTTCGTCCATCTCGTTCCATGTCTCCAGTGAGCACGCTGGTTTGCCGCCGGCGGCGACCAGCTCGTGGTAACAGCGGATTTGGTGTCAAGAGTAGTACATGTGATCCCATTAGATATCTAGAAGTCTAAGTTACAATACAGTTATGTGGCTGGATGGAGGTCTTATATACAGTTTCCCAGCGTTCCAGTATGTGGATCGCAAGTATCACCGCCTTCCCTTTCTGACATTTGGTACTCTCTGATAATTAAAAAGAGATAGGACAAGTAGCCATTTTTATGTCTTCAAAACACTATATACAATCTAATCAACGTGTCAAAGTTGCACCCGAGTTCGAAATCTTCTATCTTCTGTCAAGATGTGAGACGGGATAGCAAGTGTATCTAGGCAACTAGCTGGTACTCCAGCTGGACCCGTTCGCAGTTCGAGGGACGGTTGTCTGTGCCGTAAATGCCAAGCTGGAGGTCTCCGTCGTCTCTGGTGCAGGCGTGCGTGAATTTGGTGGAGTCACCTATTAGGCAGTTAGCGACCATTTCCGTAACATCGCTGAGGATTGAAAAATCCGTAGCTAGTTACCATAGTAGTTGAATGCAGGAGAATCATTCGTGGGGTTCCAGATATCATCACTGGAATAGTAGTCTAGTGGGACGGTGAACTCGTAAACTCCGGTGAATGAACCATCTGCTATATTAAGCTGATAAGTGGTACCGTCGATCTCTACAAGATGACAAGCGTCAGTTTCTTTTCTCGCGAGTGGAATGTCACCAACTCTTCCGCAAACGGTTACCCGGGCGAGAGCCCTAACGGGGAATAATACGTACCAGAGTTAAGAGCGTACCAGGCGAAATGCCCAAAGTTCCATCACTTCAGATACCATTCTGATTGCTGTGCCTGGGCAACATCGGCTGCGGGCACAAATTTGGGGAAACCTGCTCCATTGCTGTAGTGTCCAACCAGATGGTACCCCTCCAGGCTTGATCCGGCGCCTACGGTGAGGACAATGTTGCCCTCAGGGGGATAACCCGAGAGAGTGGCGCTAGCAAGAGTCGCAAAGGAAAATAGGGCGGAGGTAGAGGCACGCATGATGAAGGAGTTATTCTGTTGGAGCGAAGCGGTTGAAGGAAAAACTTGAGAAGATGATGATCGTGGTAAGAGTTGCTGAGATAGAGTGCAGAGCAAGTGTGAGGTCGGTAATAGAGAGCATAAGTCAAACAGTTTATATAGTCAATCTTGATGTTGGACAATCTACTCTCTCCCACTTCGAACAAGTCGTTATAGCTATTTTTATTTTCCTTGTCAGCCTCCCATGAGTGTTCCATAGCATTATGCTGACTCCGGACTACACTATAAGTTGACAGGCTTTAAATCTGACATCTGAACGAGCGGTTTACAGGTAAGCAAACCAAGAATGGTAGCGTAACACTAAGAGCTGGGCGCCAACATCATAGTTGCCGAAGCAAGTGTAATATATTACTAAGTTCACTTAAGTCGTAAACCGCCCTCTGAAGCGCATGTAGGCCTGAACTACTTAGACACAAAGCAGCAGGTCACAATTTAAGAGCAGTGTGGCTGTTGTCTTGGCGAAACCAAGTGGGCTTTCTTGAATTCCACGCCGCTCGGATACATCATTCGTCTCTTTATTGAATCCAATCGCATGTAATGGAACCATTCAGTCGTTAGCATTTTAACCATGTACTAGGAAATTCCATAATGCAGCTGCAACACCTCTGATCTGCCTGGTTAAGGAATGGGTTTACTGCTACTCTCGCCATACGGTAATAGCTGGTCTTGGGGATACTGCGTATACTATGTATGGTAACTACAGGCAGCAAGTACATGGTATCGCGCAGATGCTACCAAGCTCTGTTGCCAACTACCTACCGGGAGGCCTTTACAGTACCGGCGCATCGGCAGTTTGCTTGGTTGAATGTTGTCTCCGTCCCGTGAGATCATGTTATGCTATGCTCTGTTTAACTTTCTTTGGAAGCTGGTGAACGTCCAATCCAATGGCTTTAATTCCTCACTTAGCGTACTTGGCGTTTTCCATATATAATTACACCAGTGCCCATTCAGTTAGCTCTATCATTACATACAGTAGTACCATGTCCGTTTGCTACACCCCTAAAAATAGCGACTAGTCTAGTGTGCACTATATACACGGATGTTGATTACCCCAGAATGCCATCCCAACTGATCTCCAAACAAGAGATATATCAGCTGGAAGAGAGTGAATCGTTCAATGTAAGTTGCGATTCCATTGAAAGAAGTTACTGTGACTGCGTCTTTGACTAGCCAATTCGTTAGCTTTTGCAACTTCAAATAGAAACTGGGAGATAGAGCAATTGTGGCTGATTCGTGTCCGATAATATGCCCGGAAATCCCAAAGGCGAGGGTCCTAGCTTAGCGTAACAGGCCTCAACGGGTCCCGCGAAGGTTAGTCGTACCCTGACTCGAATGGCAAAGAGGCGTGCAAGTGAACCAGCTGACCGCCCTATGCGGCTCACGTAACAATTACTAGTACGTACTTAACGGCAGAGATTGCCTTGAAGGAGATGAAGGAGGCGATAGCTATGTACATGTGGTGGCCCTTTGACAGCAATTGATGCTCTCACAACGAACACATTGCGACGGATTATTGGAAAATCTGTTACTCTCCGCCCGCTTCGCCGCAACATTATATTCATCTTAGAATTACGGTCGCAAATAAGCCGCTCGTCCCCTTCTATAATAATCTGCCGCTCCTTTCAGCGCCAGAACTTGCTGATCATGTTCCCGGCGAGTGCCCCGGTCTTACGGGCAGAAACAAAAAGGTTGATTTCTAGATCGCGTGCCCGCCTTTCAAATATTCCTATACAGCGCTTGGAACCATTCTCCTTAACAACCTCTCGCAGCTGGGATAAAAGCGACACCAGCCTTCTCAACTCTGTCTGATGCTCTTCCTCCCACGCCGTAAATTCGTCACCTGCACGCCGGATTAGAATCCTGTCAAATGTTCCTCCACTGTGACGAGCTCTGATTAGCCAAGGCGTTCGACCGAACCACAATTGCGGTAGATGACGACTGAAGGAACCGAAGTCCTTCGTGGTTGTTTTGATTTCTGCTGCTGCTGATTGAGGCGTAAGTTTGGTGTCAGCCTCGACAGTTGGCATCTGGACTGCCATGCCTTCATTTCTCGGTGTGTCGCTTCTGATACCGGGTGCCCCGATGTCTGAAGCTAGCTCTTCCAACATTGTGTTGTTTGTAGTTTCGTCCTCTTCCTTTTTCCCATCCTCATCCAAATTCTGATAGAATGCATCGACTTCGAAGCTGACCACGCAGTTTAGTTCACCAAGCATGTATTTCAGGGCGCGATGGTACTGGACACAGTTTTTCGCTTCTCGCGGCAAGATAGTGGATGCCTTCTCAAAGCTCGAGCCATATCCAGTTTCTTCCGCCCCTCCCATTATCGCACGTGAAGTTTTCTCAAACCGTTCTATGAATAGCGTGTTATGAATCATTGATAGATCGACACGGAAGCTTGTCAAGCCGACACCCCCACAAAAAGCGAAAAGTTTTCGAAGGCTGTTCCTAGTGGTTACAATGTCGACGTCCATAAAATTAACACTTGGATTCATTGTTGCGGCTGCACGGAAGAGTGGCTCGAAATAGTACCGCGGGGCTTGCGGCAAGTTCCGGGCAGTGAAGACAGTCTTGCTGTCAGGGGGTACTGTCACGGGGAGCGACACATTGCGCCAAATCGGTGCGACGCCTGTGAGTGGTCAATAGCCAACCGGCGACAAGAGTCATATTCGAAAGGAAATACCAGGTATTCTAACTCCTTTTTTCTTGGAGTGCTGCCAGCTGTAGCTGCAGATAAATGTGGACGTTGTGTTGCTTGATACCGCCTCGAGAGAGGGCTCTAGATCATTCTTCGCCAGTGCATGGAAAGGAACAGGTGTTTTAACATTTCTCCACATCCAGCTATCCTGTTTGTCCCTCCGACGCTGTGCCCGCGCTGCATTAGAGGCGAAGGACCGCTTCCAGCCATAAAGAAATATGGCGCGAAGGCAAGAAGGTAACTTAATTATTCTTGGAGGAGACCATAGAGAAGCACAATTCATTGGGGGTGGAATAATATGAGGGCTGACGCTGACGTGTTGGATATTGTTGTCGTGATTGTCAGGTGACTGAGGGGGTGTGGTAGAATTTTCACATGCAGTGGACTGTTTGTTACCATTGAATCGCAAGCTGTATGACTTCGGACTTTAGAAAGCAGGAGTAAAATGAGTTATGACAGCTCTGGCATACTGTTTAGAACGTCATATCCAAACAGTAGGTATACAGGCGATGTTGCAACAGATACCACTGACATAATAACAGAGGGACGAGGTTAGATCTACTAGATCTGCAGTATACAGGTGCCTGCAGCTGTAACGGTCTGTAACGCACCACTAGCGCCGTTTTCCCCACACTATCTACACCTTCCTACTAACCTTCAACAACTCTTACGATCCTTCAATCCTATCACTTCTATAACCCTTTATCACTTTTAGCACCTTACACATACCTTTTTATATAATTTATATATAAATTTATCTATTGATAAATATTTAAACTTAAAGAAATATAAAACTTAACGATTTTATTAATATTATACTTTTAAAATATATAATTAAAAACAGGTATTGATTAACAACCCACGACAACCTTATACCTTATAACCCCTGATTTTGGTACGTTTTTTGAAGTATACAATATGCAAATACTGCAGCTAGCTAAAGTAGGACTGCTACTACCTGTATACTTCAGATCCAACCTCGTCCTAACAGAGGCCTGGGCGCGTCTGCTGAGTAATACTTTGATGCATCTCTACACTAGTTGCCTGCTGCTTGCAATGATGAAGTTCGAAGCTAATTAGTCGCAGCAAAGAAGAAAGAATCATATAGGTGTCAATGAAGATGTTTCCTTTCAGCTTCGCTTATGACCTGTCTAGGGAATAGTATAGAGTTGTAGAGAAACATTCAAACATGAAGGCCTGTCTTAGCAACGCCCTCTCCGCCCTTTTCCCGACACACTAGGACGCCATGACGGACCAGGCGTGCATTTTACTTGACCAGTATGTCCTGCCACAGAGCGAGTCCGAGTTCATCGTCGAACCAGTACTCGCGACCCTCTACGTCATACACAGTTAGCCACCCAACCCGACGATACGAGTCAGAGTCGACGCGCTCAAGCACAAGACCATACGCTTTGATATGGTCCATATTCATGACAGTGCAGATTTCCACGCCTACCAACGGTATGTATGTATTGGCAGGCCATTCCCTAGGGATGTCCACTTCGCACCTGATCTGAGCGTCTCCGCTTAGTACATCCGTCGTTTTGAACGCAGCGAGGGCTGCTGCTCGACCATAAGGGATGCGACCAATTCTGTCAGAGTCGAGTTTCCACCAAACAAGTCCCCGTGTTCTAGCTCGGATGCTCATGAAGCCTCCCGTCACCATTCCGAACCGGTAGGAAGAACTCAGCGTGGTCCTAGCGTCCAAGAGTACACAAGGAATCTCTATATTGGAAGGCAAGAGTCCTTCCCAGGGATAGCCGATGGACCCTATCACGGAAGCCCATGACCATGACGGCGCAACGTACGTCGGTGGCCGCCTGACGCGAAACGGCGCTACCTTCCACAGGCAATGGAGGAGAAACCCCTCTCTCCAGATGCCGGCAAGGTAATCCGTAACGGTCTTCGTGAGCGAATATTCTTCAGCAAGCGCTCCGATCCCTGGGAGCTTATCGGACTCTACTGACAGGCTCCTGCGAGAGTATTGACTGATGATATGCGCCCAACTGTACGGGTGATCCAACGAACCAAACCTGAGGTTCCCGGGGTCCAAGGCGCCGGAAAAGGCCTGTGTGGCGACCGGCCTATCTGCACCCCCGTCGCTATGCGTGTCCTCGAGGCAGCAGAAAATCATCTCCCGCTGGCCGTACGCCGCAATACGGGTCGAAAGATGGGTCTCTTGGAATGTCCAACCGCGGAGGAACAGTGGGTCTGAGGACACAAACCCTCCGTATTCGGGCGAGAGCAGCACTTCCGTAAAGACATTGTCGTCCGTCCTCGCGGCGGCTTTTATAGGTTGATATCGAACTCGAGGATGTAGAAACCCGTCGTAGCTTGACGCGGCGCTAGACGCAGCAACGGTGAAGAACGCCCCCCGGTACACCAAGTGCATCTTAGAAATCTCCTCTTGCTTATCCTGATCGTCGTCCTGGATTATGCACAGAGCGTCGACCCATAGATACTTCAGGCCGACACCTAATGTGACCGTCGCTGCATCCTGGACTGTCTTGGAAAGCTCGTGAAATGGAATATCACGCCTGTATCGTTCTAAGCGTTCTCTCGTTGTTTTCGAAAGTTGGTCTCGGCCCCAACAGTAACTGAGTGTCACGTACGGACCAACGGGGAGGTTTGTGCATAACCGTATACTCGGTCGCTCAATGCTCCCAGTCACTTCTAACAATCTCTTGGGCATGTATTCGATCTGAAATGATCTGCACCTAGTGTGCTTAGAGTGGCACTCACCAAGCCATCGCTTCAACCTGTCGAAACTGAGTTTGGAGTTTGGTGCCAGGTTGGGTGGGAGCTGGCAGTGAGCGAATCCGGGGGATTTGAGCTGCCCTAGAGATGATGAGTGCTGAAATGGAAGGTATATGAGGGTTACATTCAACTGAACTACTTGATCTGAGTGAGGTGGGAAGACCGGTTTATATACATGACTGGCCATCAAGGCCCTTCGTGCCCCTTTCCTGTACCGTATACATGAAGTGACTCTTTTACCATACATACTTTCAACAATGAGGAGTAGGACAAGAAGTACCAGCAATGTAATGATGCGACATACCTGGGATTGCATAGAGGTCGAAATGTCCAATTTCACCCGCTGAGCTCGAGTAGAAGTGAATGGTTGAGTTGGATAGAGCGGTAACGATATGATCATTAGGCGCTACTGATACATCACTGAAGTCGTCGATATTTATGAGGAGCAAGGAGTATAGTAAGCAGCCTTTATCCGCACCGACCCGAAGACGGCGTAGGTCGATTGCGGCTTTGCTACTCTCAATGTGCCTCTGCAAGTTGAGTTGAAGGTCACTACAGTATGAACAGCTATGAAGAGCAATGGAAGGATTCTCCCTTTCAGTACGGAGGTGATCTCCAGCTTGTGATACAGGCTGGAGAGTTTCGTCATCTCTACGCTCTCCCGTAGAACTAGCCACCTTGGGTTGGAGGACGATTTCGTCCCGTCGCACTGTCTCACTCTCGGAGTCAGACTCAATTGCATAAACAGCCCGTTGGTTGCTGTCCGCAGGGCCCCTTGGAAGATGAAAGTGACGCCATGGCTTCGTTGCACCATGATGGTCAGTTCCGCCTTACGCTCTTGTCCGAAGGCTAGGGGATGTGATTGTAGCGTACATATGGATGGCGAGATCTCTCTCTTTGCCGTCGCCTAGCCCTCTGAGCTCTGGGGAAATCGGCGTCGTATTCGCACGCATCACTGCTGCTGTCACTATTGGGGCCCGACCGGCATGTATCTGGCTCCATTCGTGTCGTGGTATTTGCGGCAGCTATTTGTCTATGTAAGAAAAGCGACCGCTTGCCTCCAATAGAGCTTCCTCTATCAAATGCGACAACCTCCAATTCGGGTACTAGACCTCGACTTTCACCTTGTGGCTCTGCAATGCCGTGGCTCTCCATCCCTAAGGCGCTCGTCCCATTGGTGAATCCGACAATATAGAAGTACCTACAATATGTATTTCTCAATATTTACTCGCTGGCGGTGGCTGTGCATAGGTGCCTAGTTCGACCCCGCTTTGAGTAGGTCGCGGATCCTCTGGTCATCTCCTTCAGATTACTCGGTCTACACTACACCATGATGCCAGTACTAGAATATCGCATTAATCTTGTATTTGGCTTCATCCACGGCTTTTCTGAGTTCAATAATTCCGTAAGAAGGATGCTACTATCCTTAACAACTGGCCAGTCCCATTTCAACTAGAGCCGGCTTTCTTGAAAATCACATCACAGATGCTGCATGACCATGTCTGATCGCGAAGACTACACAATTGGATGGATTTGCGCTCTGGGCATAGAATTTGTTTCGGCTAGGGCATTCCTTGACGAGGAGCTTGACATCTCAACACTGTCGATACCCTCCGGAGATGAGAATCAATATGTCGCTGGAAGGATAGGACAGCACAACGTGATAATTGCAACCATGCCGGAAGGAATGTATGGCACCGCGTCCACATCTCGAACGGTTTCGAACTTGGTTCACAGTTTTCCCAACATCAGGTTTTGCCTGAGTGTTGGCATTGGGGGCGGCGTCCCAAGCGAGCGCCATGATATCCGTCTCGGCGACGTCGCCGTCAGCATGCCTCAGGGTGCGAACAGCGGTGTGATTCAGTGGGACTTTGGGAAAGCCATTCAAAATGGCGAGTTCCGACGGACCGGCTCCTTTGACGCGCCACCAGTACTGCTTAGGTCTGCCCTTTCCCGGCTCAGAGCTGACCATGAGATAAACGGTCACAGCATAAACGAGAACATTGATGCCGCACTACATAGGTATCCGCGCCTTCGAAGCTCATATGGACGCCAAGACACCGACAGCGACAGGCTATTCAAAAGCAATGTTCAATTCTCAGAACTGGAAGATCCAGCAGCCTTGATAGCTCGAGCACCACGAATCGAATACGATACCCCAATGGTTCACTACGGCACAATTGCCTCAGGTAACCAGGTACTAAAAGATGCTGTTCTTCGCGATAAACTTTCTGCAGCAGATGATATTCTCTGCTTTGAGATGGAAGCGGCGGGGTTGATGAATATTACCCCCTGTTTGATCATTCGCGGTATAAGCGATTACTGCGACTCATACAAAACAAAGAATTGGCAACGATATGCGGCAATGACAGCAGCTGCCTATGCGAAAGAACTTCTCGGTATCGTCGCAGCAAGCAATGTCAGTGCGGTCAGAACGACTAGCCGTGTGCACATAGGTGAGCCAGACCACCCGAAACCTCAGACAATATTAGCTCAAGCCGAGGGCATACACTGACCGAAGAAAATTCCAGGCAACACATACACATCAATGTATACAGAAGCGAGGGGTCGCGATATACTTGAATGGCTAACCATTCGTGATTTCAACGCCCAACAGCACGATCTCTCCCGAATACGCACTCCTGGGACAGGCATGTGGCTGCTTGAATCAGAAGACTTCCAGATATGGCTAGCAAGTCCCAAGAGAACGCTATTATGCCGTGGTCTTCCCGGAGCAGGTAAAACCATATTGACGTCTGGGGTGATTGCAGATCTCACAACACGTTTTTCTCGTAACACTTCAATTGGTGTAGCATTCATATACCTGAACTACAGAGACCGAGAGCAGGACACACCAGAGGACTTGTTGTTGAGTTTATTGAAGCAATTGAGCGAGAGTCAGCGGACACTTCCCGACAGCGTCAAAGCACTTTATGACAGCCATAGCCGGCTAAGGTCACGACCACTGCTCAAAGAGATCCTAGCTTGTCTTGAAGCGGTGACAGCTATTTACTCCAGGGTATTTATTGTAATAGATGCTCTGGACGAATGCAAATCCCTAAACAACTGTCGAACTAAATTGCTTCAGTCGGTCTTTCAACTTCAGGCCAAATGTGGAGTGAATATCTTTGCAACTTCTAGAATCGATCCTTCTATAGAATCGAAATTTGAAAAGGCTCAAGTAGTCGATATGAGAGGTTCAAGGGACGACATAGTTCAATACCTGGATGAGGGGATATCACAGCTGCCTGGGTTCGTTCAACGAAATCCCGAATTGAAAATTGAGATCAAACAAAGGATTCTTGACGTCTCAGGGGGAATGTAAGAGTGAATCACTTGAACTTCGTGGCAAAAATGGATACACTAACCTCAACTACATCAGGTTCTTGATGGCACGTCACTTGCTTGAATCACTATCGGGGAAATGGTCGCCCAAGGCAGTGAAAATGGCCCTCGAGAACATGTCTAGCACTACTACGAAGCTATCGATGGTTTATGATGATATCATAGAAAGGGTATCTTCACAAGACTTGGAGAGTAGCAGATTGGCTTATCGAGTGCTCTCGTGGCTCGTATTTCAGGAGAGACCGCTCCTGAAAGCCGAACTTCAACATGCGCTTGCGGTGGAACCTGGCGAAGACGATTTTGACGAGGACAACTTGCCCGAAATCGAGCATATTGTATCCCTTTGCAACGGACTAGTCACCTTAGAGGAAAAAACCGGCATCCTTAGAATCGTTCACCTCTCAGCATACGAATACCTGCATACAAAACTGTATGAACTGGTTCCACAAGCAGAGGCAGATATTGCCACCGCTTTACTTGCCTACCTATCTCTACGTATCTTTGAGACTGGTGCTTGTCCGACGGATTCTAGTTTTGAGGAACGTTTGCGGTCATACCCCCTTTATTCGTACGCTGCGAGGTATTGGGGGGCTCATTGCCGAAAGCTCTCAAATACGGGCTCCCCGGTAATGGATTTGATCATGAACTTCCTAAAAAGTGGAAACAATATGCAGGCATCACTACAAGCAACATTAGCCTCTGAATGTAGGGATATTGGGTATAGTCAAAAGACGCCGGAAAATTTCACACCTCTTCATGTAGCTGCGTACTTTGGTCTCCGCGAAGCAACAGAAGCGTTAATGGAACGTTATTCGGACAAGAGAAACCTCTTGGATAGCGATGGCAGAAGTGCGCTGTCATACGCTGCTGAGAATGGCCATGTGAATGTCGTGGACGCTATCCTATCAAGAGGAATTGTTTCGCTTGAGGATGACCGGGACCGATGGGTCAGATCTCCAATCTGGTACGCCATCCAAAAAAGACATGAATTCGTTGCTGAGAAGCTGCTGGAAGCAGGGCAGGTCCCTATCACAGCCACGGACCACAGCGGAAGGTCGGTCATGTCGTGGGCCGCTGAAAAAGGACTTGATAACATAATGGTCAAACTACTATCTCGCAAACACCACCATCTTAAAGTAGCCGATGCACATGGGCGGACACCTATGTCATGGGCAGCAGAAGGAGGACATTCTTTCATCGTGGAGCTACTGGTGAAAAAAGACGGCGTCGAAGACTCGCCCGACAAATTTGGTCAAACTCCCCTCTGGTGGGCGGCCAGATACGGGCATCTTGATATCGTCAAGTTCCTCCTTGAGGCTGGCGATACGAATCCAAATAACAAAGACATGGACTATGGTGGAACATCTCTGTGGTGGGCGGCTCGCGAGGGATACGATTCTATTGTGGAAGTCCTATTGAAGTCTAATCGTGCGGACCCTAACGCGAGAAGCTCAAACGGCCAGACCGCCTTGTCTTGTGCTGCACAGTTCGGACATTCAGTTGTCGTAAGGCTCCTCCTGGAAACCAAAGGGGTGGAATTGAACCCAGTGGATACCATTCACATGCGGACACCTCTGTCTTGGGCATCCCAGCAGAATCACACGGACGTAGTAAGACTTCTGCTCCAAAAAGGCGATGATTCCAACATCAAAGAACCCATATATAACCGCACACCACTGTCGTGGGCTGCACAAAACGGTTGTGATGACGTGGTGAAGGTCCTGCTAGAGGAGAGTAACGCCGATCCAGCCCTGCTAGACAAGTACAACCGCACAGCACTGTCATATGCGGCCGAAAACGGGCACTTCGACATTGTAAAAATGCTTCTTTCGCAGGACAGAACCGATTTAACCGCAAAGGATACGCTATTCGGCCGAACAGCATTATTCTGGGCAGCCGAGAGCAATAAGGAGGACATCATGAGACTGCTGATGGGAGCCTACAGGTTCGACCCCAACGAGAGGGACAAGTATGGGCAAACGGCTCTGTGCATCGCCGCGGAAAATGGCTTTGAAGGGATAGCGCAACTTCTTCTTGACCTTGGTGCGGAACTAGAGCTTCAGGATACGGAGAAGGGCCAAACGCCGTTTTCTTGGGCGTCGGCATGTGGTCACGCTGCTATGCTTATACAGTTCATGTATCTAGGCTCGGGCAGTAGTCCTAATATCGAGTCTAGAAACATATGGGGGCGAACTCCACTATCCCTAGCTGCTGAGGCAGGACACAGTGCAGCAGTTAGAGTTTTACTTGAGAAGGGAGCAGACATCGCAAGCACGGATGACAAGTATCGCCGAACTCCACTCCTTTGGGCGGCAACATCAGAAGTGGGAAATGAAGAAGTAGCCAAGCTGCTATTGGGATTCGGATCAGACCTTTCATGCAGAGACGAGGGTGGTCGAAGAGCTCTCTCTTTAGCTTCGGAAAGGGGGAAACTAGGGGTTGTACATCTTCTATGCAATAACGGTGACGATCCGAATATGGTGGACGACAGTGGGCGAACAGCACTATCTTGGGCGTCCTTGAATGGACACGACGCAGTAGTTCGGTTTCTTCTGCAAATCGGCATCTCTGATCCAGACTTTAAGGATGGCGAGTCTCGATCGTCTCTCTCGCTCGCTTCTGAGCATGGCCACAAGATGGTTGCTAGACTTCTGCTAGAAACGAATGTTACTGATCCCAACCCACCGCTAATATGGGCGGCGCGAAGAGGGCAGGCAGAAATAACGCGGCTACTCCTTGGCACAGAGAGATCGAAGCCAGACTTTAAGGATGAGAACGGCAGAACTCCATTGTCATGGGCAGCTGGAAATGGACACATAGAGGTTCTTTACGTGCTTCTCGACGCACATGGTGTTGACTGCAACAGCTGCGATGATGACGGTCGTACCCCATTATCATGGGCCGCGGGAAATGGGCAGAGTATTGTTCTCAGACGGCTTATTGCATCGCGACTAGCCAACCCTTGTCTTAAGGATGCCCAGGGAATGACCCCATTGCTATGGGCCGTTAGAAATGGACATGAGCCGGCGGTCAGAGAGCTTCTGAGCTCTCTAGACGAGGCAGATATCACCATGAAAGACTCCCAGGGTCGCACCCCGCTCTGCTGGGCCGTGATTCGAGGCCACCAGAGCCTCGTGAGACTTCTCCGTAGCCATGGTCTACATACCAACATGAAGGACGATTGCGGCATGACGCCCCTAGATTATGCCCTCGACTTAGAATACAACACAATCGCTCAGTTATTGGCGGGAGACGACCCGACTGGTGCGGATCAGATCGAGTGGGATGGAGATGCTGAGCAGCAAGATCCAGACCCGGGCGAAGGGCCTTCTAGTTTACCATCCAGGAAAACCGTGCCGAGCTTGGAAGATGACGGCTTTGACAGTGACACCACTGACAACGCCTCGGAAGCCGAAACCATGGATGAAGGCTCCATAGACTTACCCCCTGACTTGGACAGCGATATCCATCTTTCCAACCCTAGAAAATGGGCTCGGGAACTAGACTTGCTCGAGCAAGAAGTTGTGGAAAACTCCAAGACGTGCCAATCTATGCCTCATCTAGCCGCAACGATGGCGGTTGAAGAGTGTATCGAAGTGCTGGATACGGCCCAGCATAACTATCAACACCTGATGAAGAATAAGCATTACCAGGATAGCATCAATGCACTTGTTGTTAGCCGGAAAAGACCGGATGTGGCGACCTTACAGAGGATCACAGGAGAAGATATTCGTCAAGCTCGGGCACACATCGCGTCTCATAGCACAAAGCAATGTCTACAGAAGATGCACGAATGGGGGTTTGATGGCTTCTCAGCCAATAGCGAAGAACCCGTCAACTCCCAGGACGTCCTTGAGGTTTACGCGACTATCATTGCAAGATTCATTGATATCGCGATCATCTGCTTTTCAGGGGCTCATACGCAGCGGTTTGACCACAGGTATCTCGAATCCACCGGGGACGAAATTACCATCTCAAAGACGATAGTATTGAGGCGTCGCTCACTCCGATGCCTTGATGAGTATCTGCACCAGCAACAGGTTTGGGTCTTCGAAGATGTAGAAGATGTCGTGAGACCGTACACTCATACGCCACTTTACATTTCAACCACGATCCAAGACTTCAGTTACATATGGGGACCGGTCTGGGCGACACGACAGTTAATAGGAGAGGTAACAGATCTGAGTGCGTCAGAGGCAGATGCACCAGTACTTCGATACAATGTTGGTCGAGGGTGGATCGTGCAGTGGGAATGGAGCTCTACCGAGCCCGAGCTTCTACCCGGTGAGATATTCGCACACTGGACACAAGATCCGCTTGACCTAGACGGAGCTTCCAGTTTCCCTCCGCGTAATATCAATATACGCCTACTGATAGGAGCCCGAGGCCCGAGATTTCATAAAAACCCGAGCTGTGAGCTTAACTCCGTGCGGTGGACGCGGCGCATGCTAGAGCTAAACCGTCTGAGCACCCATGGTACAAGGAAAGACACGAAACAACGCGATGCCCAGACCGTGACGACCAGTCTGAGCGGCTTGGGTTTGGGTGTGCAATACGCGGAGTCATTCAAACTTCGTGAAGGGTCCACGATGAAAGACCGATTTCTCGCCTCATGGTCCAACGCACCGACGCAACGGAACCCGTCCATCCTGGCGCACCGGCTAGGAATCGAAGTCAGCGCGTGTTCAGGAAACGCGAGAAGGGTGCGACTGGCCCGGGTTCTCGGATCTCGTATGATGGAGAAATACCTTGAATCCATTTGCTTCAATTGGGGTCACGAGGACTCAAGGCAGCTTTACTTTGATGCCTTGAGGAACACTGATATCCGCACGTTCGAAAGACTTTACAGAGATCGACCTGAACTCCGAGAGGATCTTGGAAAGGCCGTTGCGACGTCCATCGAAGTGTTGGCGCATACGGGCACGGACGCTAATCACGCCCTCCTTGCGTTCTGGACATCTAACAAGAGCACGCAGTGGACCGCCATATTCCCGCATTCTTCCTTTCGGTGGTCTGGTCTGCTAGCGGATACCAAGGATTCCTGCGCTGTCGCGATCGTGACGGAGCATTGCCTCGTGTTGCGGCGGTCTCGACTGTATGAATGTAAGCAACAGCATCACAATGGCCATTCCAGTCTCCTAGAGACGATTATGACGATCAATAAAGAAGCTGTGAAGCCTGGTGTTCTGCAATGGGATGGCCGTCATTGTGAATTTTCTGACGACATTGGGCACCAGAAGTTCGATCTAGGGTCATCCGGGCAGCTCTTGTTTCTGGGGCCTGTGTCCAAGTCTCGCGGCGGAATCCTGATGGAATGGAGTCCTCCTAGCCATATCAAGAGGTTGAAAGAATGGTTTCAAGAGGCGATTGAGAAAAACGGGGCTCCTCCTCATCACTGGGAACATATCGTCCAGGATGAGAACGGCGAAGAGAATATTGGCGCGGTACAAGTTCATATCACATCTGATTATTAGTCGAAGTGAAGGATAACTGCGTCACTCTTCTTTTATTTTTATAACAGGGTTTGAGACTGAAACTGTCAGAAAGGGAAGGCGGTGATACTTGCGTTCCACATACTGGAATGCTGGGAATCTGTATATAAGACCTTCATCCAGCCAGATAACTGTATTGTAACTTAGACTTCTAGATAATCTAATGGGATCACATGTACTACTCTTGACAGAAACAGCGGTGCATCACTCATACTCAATGATTCCGTTGTTTTTAACATGACGGATGGAGGCTATTAGGCATAGGCGGAACCAAACTATCTGGCTGTCCTAAACGTCGTACATCGACAATATCATAGAGCTAGCGAATAAGCGTTTCGAAATAGTCGGAGTACTAAGAGAATTTCTTTTCCGGAAACTGACTCTGCAACACCTATTGAGTCTCAACGGTAGGTACTAAGGAAAGGCCGGATCAATCCCACTCGTATCAGTGTTAACTCGGCTAAAATTCTTCCCTAGGTTAATTATTATCCGAATTAAAATAATTGTAGTGTGTCAGTCTACACCAGTTCAAAATCTTCCACTTGTACATTAGCCTGCTGAAACTCGTCCACAGTGATCCGGATCTTGCGCCTATGTCCGTCCTCATCGCCACCCGGTGGGAGGCCCAGCAACTTACGAACCAACGAGCCATGCCACAGCAGATCGCCCGTCCGTGTATCCCTAATGCCGCTACGCCACTTATGCGAATCGCCAGGAGGCCGGCATTGCGTCGGCTTGTAGTAACTAGGGAGGCGACCATGGACTGCCTCACCCGCCATAAGGCCAGGAACGTAGCTATCTGATACTAGCCGCCATCTCGAACCCCCCGATCCGCTAGCGCCGCCGTCCACGGCCCGAAGTAGCGACGGTCTGCTGGATCCGATAAAGACACAGACCAGGTCCCCCGGCTGCGCTGCCTCTGACGCAGAGCCACAGTGGCCGTGGGTGGTGCGGAAGAAGCAACGCCCACGCAAGTAGGCATGTGCCAAGCGCATGAGCTTGAAGCCCGGGCTCGCCTTGTCGTGAAGCGGATCTGCCATGTCTGATGACAGAATCTCCCGTAGCGCCGCCGAGCACTCATCACGTGTTGCGACCCATTCTCTGTAGAGGTTGGTATCCTCGTCAAAGCGCTCGCAACAGAAAAGTCGGCAGTATCCCTCAAGCAGGCTCGTGCCGTCGACGTACGTTGCCCCGGGTTCCAGAGCGTCTAGTAGTGGGAGGCTCCGCAGGCTTCGTAGGAAGTCGGGGTTGAACTCGGCTCCGGGACGCGGCTCCATAAGACTGACACTCTTGACGGTGCTCACGCGAATACCCGCTACGCGAAGGACGCCGTCTCCAAGATAGCTGAATAATGGATATATAGGACCCGACGCGTACCAGTACGGTTCCATTGTGCCCTGTAAATAAATTGTAAGAATGAGACTACTTATATAATAGTGATGAGAGTAGGAGACATAAGGTAATTCTTACTAACGTGTTCAAAACTAAATGGTTGCTAAACGGGCTCAATCACCCCAAAAAATCCAAGCGTTGAAATAGACTCAAAAAGGGGGGACTTATAAATAAAAGCATCTTGCAATTTACTAACCTCCATTTTCATATCTGTATGCGTCCACCAGTCGGGCACCCAGCTCGGCAATCCCTCCATGTAGTGTTGGGCCATGTCACACGAAGTCGTAACATCCAACGACTCCTGTGCCTGCATGACGCGGACGGCGACGTCGGTGTAGACACGCGCGGGCGGCAGTGAATAGTCGGGCACAACGCCGATTGAGCGGTCCTTGGGCCTCAGCATCCCCTGGACGGCGTAGACGGCGTCACGGGGGTCAGTCCAATGGACACCCGCAAGCTCTCGGCGTAGATACTTGTACGTCATATGACGACTTCGGTCGACAAGCAGGCGCACAAGGTCAAGGCGGGCGGCCAGCTGGCTCAGCACCTCCACCTCCAGCACATCACGCTTGGGCCACTGCCACACACAGAACAAGCCGCGAGCCACCGCCTCCCACGGCACCTCGGTCCGGCCGCATAGCACCGACGCCGAGCTGGCCACATATATCTCCTGTCGGATCCACAGGCGGCCAAACCAGTTGCGATTTATGAGTTCCGCCACGGCCTTGAGCTCGCGCTTGCCGAAGCGCAACTCTAACGTGGTCTCGTCGCGTGGAGGTGGCTCTCCGTGGACGGGCGACAGGATCGTGATCTTCTCGGTGCTGTAGGCGACATCGAGCTGGTTGCCCAACTTTGCTAGTTCATTGAGCGCATAGGCGCTATCGTCGGCCTCGAGCCCGAGCCAGACGACAACGCGGTACGCAGCAGCGTAGATGTTGCACATCTTGGCGACGTGCCAACTGCGCTCGCGGAGATTTACCTGGTTGATGCACAGGGCGTCGATCCACATGGTGCGGGGCCGGTCCTCGTAGCGGAGGTGCCGCAGTCCCTCCTCGAGGTTCCGGGTCACGGGGATGGTGGAGACATTGCCGTTCACGATGAGAACGTCGACTGTGTCTGTTAATGGGCCCCAGGCATATGACAGCGCTTCGTAATGAGGGTAGTCTTCCTCCGGAATATTGGAGGCGGTCTGACTATTAGGGATTGTCGCGACGCGGAACGCGACGCGAACCGGGTCATCCAACTTACCGGGCAGTATGTCTGCGAGCCTTGTCTCACGGTTCTCCTCTAGTTTCGCATACATGTACGAAGACATATTTCTAGTGACTTAGATTTTCAATGGGCTGCTTAGGGTCACTGCATGGCGTGTCAACTTCATTCAAGGCCGCGATGTGAAGGTGTTGAGGTTTAGTTATCGAAGGTGTACTGGCGCGATCTGCCTACATACATAGTAGGCTTCTACTAGGCCAGCTTTCCGTCTACCTCTGTTCCCACCCGCATTGGGACGCCTCATGCTGGTTCTGTAAGCATGCAAGCCGATAAGCGACAAGGGTCGTGAATCCTCACCACATAGCCGACAGTTTATGATAATGTGGTGTAGACAGGTTGAAAGCGGGGTAGAATGTGGCTAACCCTAGAATTCTCAGCCCACGACCTCCTGATGTCTTCGCAGATCCAGGTGAATAGAAAGGTTAACTAGTTGTCCGTAAACATGGGTACAAGGTTCTAGAATCGCATGATAGAGTGGGCAGTTTTCATGAACCTCACAAGCTATGTTCGACGAAATTGGAAGGCTGGAAATGCTGAAGGGCATTTTGACTAGGAGATCTTCACACTACGACTTGCTTAGTAGTTCAGGTCGCTCTAATGTTACAATATAATTCAAATCTTTCCTTTAACTATTACTGCATCATGTGAGCTTGGATGCAACCCTAATGACCGTGAGATAGGAACAAAGTTTCTCGATTATCTCCAAAGAAATTGGGGCACGGATTACCTACTCTGATCCGTTTCGAGACATCTCAGCCCTGGGATTGAAGTGACAAGGGTATTATGTTAGCAGGGGCTTAGAATCCCGCAGAGTCCCTGTGATGGATCAAGGATGTCCAAGGCCAACTTTCCGCACCTTTTTGTACCAATCTCTGGGATTGATGGCGTTGCTGAGCTCCTGCAAATCTCTAAGGAGGTTCAAAGCCATTTCAGTTGGTCTGGTAGACTGTTTACGATGCTTGAATTTTCACAAAGATGCTGTAGCTTCTCCACAATACAGAATGCATGTTACATGCGCATACAGCTGAACATGCAGTTCGCCTACGGCGACAGGGGTAATACAGTCTACTCGTGACCTTCAAGAGACATGCAGGCAAATTGGAAGCGAGATTATGCAGACCTCCCTTCATGGAACAGACCAATGAGACCTAAGCGGTCAGGGCTGGCAGTCAGTTTGCATACAGAGTTAGAGTCAAGCCCACCAAGGCCAAGGAGGATTTGGCTGACCACACACTTTTACAGCCTTAGCATATTATTATATTGCAAATAGCTTCAGTAACTGTTGTTATACTGCGCGCTAGTCATTACATTGCCGATAGTTTGATCTATACTGAGGTTTCTGCCGAGACTGGTGGTTATGGCTGATTAATTGATTTGTAGAGAGGATTATGGTTGGTTGTTCTGAGAATTGCCGAGATTTTACCTCTGCTTGGGCTTCATCATAGGCGGCCACGCACTGCCTAAGGCTGCATGGAACTTGCTGCACTCAGGTGGAGAATGTATACTACCGTTACACTTGCAAGTCTAAAGGCGTCGTTTTTGACAAAGTGCGACAGACCTACCTAGAGATCCGGCGGGTACACAGAGATTACGGTCAGACAGTCAAGGCTAGCAGACACAACGACTTAGCAGGGCACTCCGTACTGAGTCATCAACATCGCAAAAATATACCCCCATTCACGCTGATATCCCATTATTGAGTCCGTTATAGAGAGCGGCATGGTATTTTGGTTTTCCGGTAGTTCAGAGCTTGGCAAAACCATTACGTTTTCGTACGATTGATGAAGTTGTAACTGAATTGATTACGATGGCTGGCTATAAGCGCTTCTTAAAAAGTACAATATAAGTTCGGATGTGGAGATATTAACGAATTGTAAAGTGTAGTTACAACTTCATATTGGTAGAGCGAAGTTACTTCTTATACACACTACTGTGTATTGTTGGGGTTGCAAACGGACAAGGGCATATAAGGGTCCTTAGCCACACCTTCACACCTACACCTCCGTTTCTTTGACTGCAGCACACGATGAAACGAGCTATTCAATAAATCACTGAATTGCCATGGCCGCAATCTCAGTATCAGCATGACAGAGACAACGTTATTCATAACTGCGAGGTCCCCTCTTGCTCAACAGGGCTTGGCTAGCTGCAGTTGATCTGATCCACTCTGCTATGGTGACTAGAATTCCGGTCATCATTCTGAGTGAAGGCACTATCAAATATTATGTAGAAATTAATATCGCTGTAATTTCAATACATCCCATAAACAAGATATGCTCTTTGTGAGTGTTGATATATGAGTCTAGAATAATATCATCCTAAGCCGTACAGGTTGTATTGTTAAGATGACTTGTGAACCAGCCTGACTTTGAAATACATACACTATGTTAACAGCCGTCTCATTAGCGAAGTAGCGAGTAACCAACACACAGGGAAGATAACCCTGGCTTCAGGGTCAAATGTAAAAACAACATAACAACTTCGCTTTTGCACTTTACTTTTGTATCTACATAACATAGCGACCGGCGTTCAATTCCACCAATGCGTCGCTATTTTTTTTTTCTTCTTTTTTGCTCTGTTCCGCTTTGACTCACTACTTTCATTTGCTCATCATGTGTTATGCAAATAGAAAAAAAAATCACTTTTTAGTACTTGACGCACTTTGATCGAACGAGAAAGCTAAATTCTTCGAGTAAGCTTTTGTGTAGTTTTATGTCTATAATTGTGATCTATCATCCAAGCTCTCTCTGCAGCTCGAGTCGCTGCTAGGCTATTAAACTTGATTCTCCCGCATCTTGAAACTGTTGCTGCTAGAGCGAAACTACCCCGCCACTCCCGAAGCAGTCATCAAACGCATTCTCGGCAGCTCAAGCAAACGCAACCCAACCTCATCCCCAGATATAGTCCACGCTCTCTCCAGATACCTGCAAATAGCAACTCCTTCGGTGCAAGACTGTTTCCACAACCACCAGATCCTCCGATCGCAGATCTTGGCATACCAGTATAAAAGCACAAGCATTGCCTTCTCGTCTTTGCGGATCAACAGCTCGCGGAACGGAGCATCGAGCGCTCTAAAGAAACAGACATGCGCTAGAATGTTTTCATGGTCCAGCTCGCGCTCGAACAACTCAACAGCTATTTTGACAGCTTTATGATAGGGATTGATTCTAACACCATGAATCCTACCAATACCCTCTTCATCAATGTCCTCTCGATTGCTAAAATTGCCTTCGTCGGTTCGGCGGGAGTTCAGAACCTCGAAGAACGCCTCAAACTCCTTAGGAAGCCACTTCGCCGTCGAGCGCTCTTCCGACCCTGTTTTCGCCATACCTAGCCGACTCACCCACTTACTTAAATTAGAAAACTCACTCGCCGGGAGATAGAACGGAGCATTATCCCTCGTGGGATTCGTTAGTTCCGCGACGACCTTCTGACCGTCGCAAAGGGTAAACCACAGGAGGTCGGCTGGGGATGGCGAGCGAAGCGGCCAAGCTTCTTCGGGGTATCGCTCCTCTACGTAGGCCAGGTGACTGATGCTTATCAGGTTTGCAGATATCCAGAGTACATCGCCATCGGACGGCGCGAAGGGTCTGTTGAGATATTGCCGCATGGAGGACACAGCGTGGTACCAGTGATACGTGAGCGAGTATGACCGCCTGGTTCCGAAGGGTTCCATGGCCAGGTCATGCATTTCAGCCATGGCAAGAACGGTATGCATTAATAGCGGGTTCTGGCAGCAATGAGTTAGTCTCCAGGGCTATTTATCGCAATTATAATGATGTGGGCATATAAGTATTCATCATACCGTGAATGCTAAAGGCAGGACTTTCTCCGCATAAACATGATGCGTTGCCCTTGTCCCTAGCGTCCAGGCCGTACGTTTCTGGAACTTCTCGATAAGGGGAATATCTCTGGCTAAGAGCTGGTATATCTCTAAGCTATGCCGAGACCCCGAGATAGGTAAGGGAGCTGGTGGAGATTGCACAACGGCCTGGGGAGCGGCACCTATATGCACCCGAAAACTCGGCTTGGCAGAAAGGCTCTCGGGCGAGAACTTGGAACCATAACAGCAAACTACATTGAATGCATCGCATCTCCTGCAGCATGGTTTTGTCTCATCGCACTAGTAGGTGTCAGCATGTACCCCTTGAATCTATTGAAATGAGTTGTGAGCTATCCGATAAGTATTGGGATCCGGAAACAACCTAGTCGCAGTCTTGACGATCAACAAAAGCGAGCTCACCTTGATACCTCTTAGCTTGCAATTCGCACACCCATTACGGGACTTTCTGTGGGCTTTGCGTTTCCGAATAGGAGCTGCAGTTTTGATCGGCAGCATCTTATCTTAGCCAGCTAACCACTAGATGCTAATGAAGCGGCATCGGCGATGGAGGTTAGGAGGAAACACGCACAAGCCTCCCTTGTGAGTCGCGGGATGGAGTCGCAGCGTCAAGACTTTCGGTCATTTTCGGACACCTAAAACCCTTGACATCACGCCCTGTAGATGTCGCTTGAGACTATCAATCAGGCTTGCTTGACTCATAGCAACGAGTGCTGCACCAAGTGCATATGAGGTTGTCTTCGACACGGGATTCCGGGGATAGCGGGACTGACAAATTAAACAAATCAACGCTGACTGGCTTAGCGGTGAAGCTTTACCCACAGCGACTAACCTCGGTTCGTATTCCAGATCCCACTAAACCTGTTTCGTATGCGCTTTATAGCCGTTTACATGTGTTGCGTGATCATAGACACTGACATTACGTGATAGAGCGGCGGCATGGACATGCTTGCTACATCTCCTATAGCCGGATTATGCAGAAAATATTGTAATCTAATAGAAAGCATCGTCAGATTGAACTTCAGTCTCGACCTCGAGCATCCGTATGTACAGATATGGCGCTAACCTGGTTTCGTATTCTCACAGTTCAACTCGCGTTGAGCTTTGTAAGTGAGAAATCTGACATCTAGCATATTGAAGACACTCACAGTATTCTTCATATATAAAGCGACGGAACACTGGCTCTTTAGAGAAAATGAGTTCGAACATTCATCGATAAAGTCTCCAACTCATCCCCGAATTTCACGCATAACCAAAATGGCCCCCTCCCTTCCTTCTATGATGCGCGCTGTCGTGCAGACAGCCCCAGGCACAGCATCCGTAGAGTCGGTACCTATCCCCAAAGTAGAATATGGCTCTGCGCTTGTCAAGCTCGAGGCGTCGCTGGTACACTCCAACCTATCTCCCATATTCAAAGCCGATCTAGATTATTTCAAGCTTCCCTATCCCGCCGTCCCAGGGTCCTTCGGCATCGGCCGCGTGGCCGCCGTAGGACCGGATGCTACAGCGCTACGAGAAGGCGACTTCGTCATAGTCTCGGCCTTCATCCATTCCCGCGACGACCCTTCCGTTAACATCATCAGAGGTGTGCTCGCCGGTCCGACGCCCGCGTCGCAGCACCTTTACAAAACGTTCGCGCGCAACGGCTTCTTCGCCGAGTACGTGACCGCGCCACTGGAGACTATCTTCCGCCTCGATGAAGCGCGTCTGTTCGGAAGCCCGGAGGCGGGTGGTCTCGGATACATCCCAGGCGAGCTCGTCGTCTTCCCTGCTAACGTGATCTGCTACGCGGCCATGCGCGGCATTTCGCTACAGCCAGGCGAGCGCGTCGTTATCACACCAGCTACGGGACACTACAGCGCCGCTGCTGTGGACGTGGCTGCGGCCCTGGGGGCGCGCGTCATCGCTGCGAGTCGCAATGCCGCTGGTCTTGCTAAGCTGAAGGAGACGTACCCAGGTGTCGTAGACACGGTGCAGTTGACCGGCGACGTCAAGACAGATGGTGCTGCGCTCTCGGCCTTTGGACCGGTCGATGCTGTCGTCGATGTCTCGCCTCCTGCAGCGACCGGCGCGCCGAACTTCGCGGCTGCGTTATCATCTTTGCGGGACGGGGGTCGCGTGACTCTTGTCGGCGGGCGAGGAGACGAGACGTTGCCAATTCCTTACCTCAAGGCTATGATGAGCAGTTTGACGATCAAGGGATCATATATGTATGCGCGGGAGGATGTTGAAGCATGCATCCGCCTGGCAGAAGCGGGGTTGCTGAAGTTCGGTAAGAGGGCTGGGCATGTTGTTCATGCGGTGTATACTCTGGATGATTTCCAGGAGGCGATGGATAGGGCCGTTGAGACGGCTGGCCCGGGGTCGATCATCTACATTAAGCCCTGATGATGATGATGCAAAGACCTACGCAGATGTAACGCTGTAGGCTCTATGGGTTACTAGAACTCGCCAGGGGTGTTGGATATGGGGGTTAGTCTCGACCAAGACGTCTTAAACACTCAATGTTGAACATGAAAAACGACGCCGTTAGACTGTGAACAGTCTAACGGTTATTATAGCCTCACCTACGTCTAGCACTCAATACTCTGTGCTCTTATATCAATCCCTAACAAAATATGTTATCCAGGTCTTGAATCCACAAAGTGACTAACGGCGGCGCGGGGTTCGCTACTGATAAAGCTTTCGTTTGCCCCACATCTTCGGACGCCTCGGCCCTCGGCCACCGCATTGCCCGGTGCGCTCTCGGCGCCGCCAGCTCCACCCGAGAAGCCGTTGTGAAGGAGAACAGACCAACTCGCCCAGCTCCTGTTATAGATATAAAGTTCGAGGCAAAAATAATGTTAACTCTAAGCTAAAGTACAGTACAAGTATGGTATCACAGAACAATAGGTTATCTAGTGGGTCCTTAAACCCTGTAGAGATGAGATAGGCGCCGCCTCCTTATCTGGTCATGTGCGGAGGTGATGCGTCTGCTATCGGTGTACAACGAATCACATCCCAGGCCCGTCACAGATCAACAGATTGTCGGCGACATGTACCACCCCGTATAGGAACCATGTCAGATTTGGGTGGGGTTCGTTCGGGGGTTTTCGAGGCAGTATAATTACTTGTCTACGGTTATGGGATTGGTTCTCGATTTATCTTTGAACAGGACCTTACTAACCGTACCTTATGAAACTGATCTTTCTCTCGGGAAATTTGACTCACATAATAGCCTAGCGGTAGGGCAGTAGGTATTAGTGAAGGTATTGAAAACACCTCTACGCCGCAATGTCAGCGACAGCCGCCGTGCTGAGCCATGGCGAGATCGACGAGTCACTAGTTCCCGGCACCGTCCATCTCGTCGATCTGCAACATACAATGGCGACACGTCACTCCGCGAATCAGAAGGACATTGTGCTGGTCCCGACGCCATCCTCGGACCCGGAAGATCCGCTGAACTGGAGTCCGAACCGCAAGTACCTGGCCCTCGCCTGCGCGCTGCTGTACACTTGGTTTAACGGCATCGCCCTCTCGGTCGTGTATTCGGTCATCGTGCCGCTATCCTCGGCTCTTTCCGTTACCGTGTCCGACCTCAATGCAGGAACAGGGTACATGTTCCTCTTTCTCGGCTGGGGGCTGCTCTTCTGGCAGCCCTTCGCCCTCCAGTACGGCAAGCGCCTCACGTATCTCATCTCGCTCGCGGCTCTGACGGCCGTCACGGTCTGGGGTCCCTATGCGCGTGGTAACGGCCAGTGGATTGCGAAGTCTATCTTGACTGGCTTCTTCGCGGCGCCTATCGAGGCCCTGCCTGAGACGACCATCGCCGACTTGTTCTTCGCGCACGAGCGGGGCACGTATCTGGGCTGGTACGCCTGGACGCTCGCGGGCAGCAATTTCTTCGCGCCCGTCATCTGCGGCTTCATCAATGACGGCATAGGCTATGAGTGGGTTTTCTACATCCCGGCCATCTTCTGCGCGGTTACCTTCGTGTTTCTGTTCCTCTTCATGGAAGAGACGAATTATGACCGCAGAACCGTCGGCGTTGTCGCTACAGCAGGGAGCCGGAGTTGTGTTGAGAAAGAAGTGGCAGTAGATGCAGGTGAAGAAAAGAAAGTGTCAAACGATGGTCCCGATCAACTTACAGTATCGGAAGGTGTGAAAACACCACCTGAAGGAACGCCCACCAAGAGTTTTTGGCAAAAGCTCTCTCTCGTTGACAAGCCGAGACCTTTTGTGATGCACTACCGGGCCTGGCAGTCCCTGAAGCTACTCTCGTGGCCGGTGGTCTTCTACTCTGGTTTCAGCTACGGTACCTACCTCATCTATTTCAACATTCTCAATGCCACGGCTTCGCTGATCCTAAGCGGGCCGCCTTATAATTTTCAGCCCGCTATGGTTGGCCTTACCTACATATCCTGCCTTGTAGGTGTGACTGCTGCGTAAGTCTATTTCACATACTCACAGTCGTCAAAGCAATGGGACTCATTACTCACAACCTTTAGAGCCGCCTTCACGGGTGTATTCTCTGACCGATTCATCATTCGATTAGCCCGTAAGAACAACGGCGTGTCCGAGCCTGAGCACCGTCTCTGGCTGTTCTCCATCTCTACCATCGTGATCCCTTCGTCTCTAATCCTGTGGGGTGTTGGTGCTGCTCACGGCGTCCATTGGTTCGGCCTCGTATTCGCGATGGGCACGACAGCGTTCGCCAATACAATGGGCGTCACGTTATCAGTGGCGTACCTCATCGACACGTACCGTGATATTTCAGGGGATTCCCTGACGACCTGCATTATTATACGGAACACGATGAGCTTTGCTATCGGGTACGGGATCACTCCCTGGGTCGAGAATCTGGGGTACCAAAACTGCTTCATTAGTGCCGCTTTTGTGGGCTTGGCTATTTGCAGTGTCTTCCTCATTATGGTGCGCTGGGGCAAGACACTCAGGGAACAGAAGAGGGTACAGTACTGGCGCGAGGTAAAGAAGAGGATGGGTGCCGGACTTGTCCACTAGGTATGACGTGCTCTCTCGGTGGCTGTGTGTTACAGAATGCTCTCAGGGAGGTAGCATATATCACTTGGGGCTAATGGTCTCCTCATAAACGGGGTATAGACTAGGTCACGGGGAATCAATAATGTAGCATAGGTAGGTTGCCGCTAAGGCTTCTAAGATCTCCGCGGTTATTAACAGAAGCAAGTTCTTAACGTGACGGAAACCTTCGAAGAAAGACAATCAAAAATAATTCAATGGCTATTCTTGTCAGCTGATTACACTATTGGCATATGGGATATCTGTCACTTGCAGTCATATCTTCCGCATGATTATTTTGGGTGGAAATCGCTAATTGTCAAGGGCCAAGAAGAATTAGGCCAGAAGTTACGCCGAAGGAGTGGAGATAGCTCGATTGGCCAAGTATACAAGGAGGAGAAGGCCCCCTTCTGGTAGGAGAAAAGGCAGGAATCAATATTATTGAGCCCTTACCCCTACATTCTACCTATCTACTACCCGGGTGCTACCTACTTACTACCAAGCTTCACTCCGGGGACACCTCCCCATGACATTAATAGACTAATCTTTCATAGAAGGACGTCATAATGCTTAATTAACTGCTCATCTAGTTGTCTTTCTTGCTTTTACCGTGATCAAATTACTTCTAAGGAGCGTTGTTGATAGCTTCTAGGTGTAGGCGGGTGTGTAGGTAGGTCACTCGCCAAGTGTTCGGAAGATTGGGAAAAGTATACTATCTCTATCAGCAGGTGACATGCAGCTGCAATGGCCCGATAACTGCAGATTAAGTTTTGCTCTTTAAGATGGGCTATATAGTCCTGTGACGCAGCTCTACAAGTTGGTTCAGGAGACTCCCTCCTGCCTAGCGAATAAAGCGAGGTGACTCACTTAAAAGCAGTTACTTAGAATTTAGTCCACAGGCTAGGGTAATAGTACTTGGTGATATCGCTTCTTTACTATTGGCGCTATAATTATAGGAACTGCTTCATTAATCCATAATTCGTGCCTCAAATCCTGGGGTGAGTTACTTACGTCAGCGACGTCATTTTCTAAGACCTTAAATTCGTATGCTCACTTGCCGAGTAGAAAGATCAAAGCTCTTGACTTAAAGAACTAGAAGTTGTTCACTTTATTAATTCCGATCTGCTTGTTTATAATATCGTTATTAGCGTCCAGTGTCGACAGATGAACGGGGCGAATCGTCTTACCACCATATCATTGCGAGTTCCGTCGGCTAAAATGAGAAGAAGCAATGTGAGATTCTCAGCATCGTATCACTGGGGTCTCACGCTCCATACCCTGTCCAGCCACATCCCCCGATTTGTAAACACGCATCAAACTTCGCAAGGGGGGGTAGGAGGCTGGGTTGTTGGGAGATTAATAGGGTAGGCTGACCTGGTAAGTGCTACTTTGATACCCAATGCCCTCCAATCGTTCCCATGATGCATAAACGTCCAATCTTACCAACCTGCCTATTTTTCAACCATACCGAAACTTGATAATAATCATTCGTGGTCGAGGCGGGCCTACTGTAACAACATGCATGGTACGATAAGCCAATCACTTCAAGATTATGAGAAGCCGGCACAAGGCGTAGCTGGTATTCTTGAGCTTCTCCCCTTCTCCATTATAGCCTGCCGGAACCTGTTGCTAAGCAGTTTATTCGACTCTCCTATGGAGGTGGCATCTCACATTAGTCATTGCTATTGGAAAAGGCGGAGCGAGGTACACTCTATAACAAGGGCAGGAAACTGGGCTTGGAACTAGGAATTCAGATTATAATGATCAACTAGGGCTGCATTAGTCCTTGACCAACCAACTCCTTTTCGGCTGTTGGTGGCTTGAGAAGACTCTATATACAAATGATCTGCTAGCCCAGACCGCCTGGGTCTCTAGGGTATATTTCAAGAAGCGAAGTCTATAACCTCACTTTCCAATATTGCCCAATATTGCCTGCATGTATTGAAAGATTATGAACAGCCTGCAATGGTCCTTCTACGGCCGAATTGTAAGGCGAACTGCATATTTCAACCGGCATAGAGGTTGCACGTGTAACACACTCAAGCCTCTAGATAAGTGTATCGCTAGGTTCCCCCGCACCCACAGGCCATCCACGGGATAGCTGCGTAAAATATGACTAACATAAAGCAAGGGACTACCATTAGCTGCATTAAGCTATTCATCACCGTGATCAATAGTTATGAATTCAATATATGCAGGTCAAGTCTACTAAGAAGTAACGAGGCCTAATTGGCAGCAGCACCCGCCGCGCTGGAGGTTGATATATTCTAGGTGCCCAATGCCCAACACCTCCCGGTGGAAAAACACAACTTCAGTAAACCTTACTTTCTACTCAATCCTAATAGCTCATTGATTCTTACTCCTTACCCATTTCTTTTCAACGAATATTTTGGATTTTTAATTTCGCGACGTCATTGTCATTTTTCACAATGGCATCGTATGAGAGTGCGGGAAATCCTCTGCTTGTAGGTTTTTTTAACGACGATGCCACTCTAGACACCCAAAATAGATTCGTGAACGAGCTGTGGCCACAATCATCTACATGTGTTGAGAATATCATGGTCGACGCTTATTTTAATCTTGTTCGCGACGAAAAGCAATGGGCAAATATCCAACATCATGCCGTCAAGACCTATCAAGATATAATCTCCATTGTCGGCATAGTGCGAACCCATCTGGATCTTCCACTTCAAGAGATCGCAAGTCTTGTCAGTCAAGAGGTTTCGACTTTTGGCCAAGACCTGTCAAAGATTTCCACGTCCATCGAACTTGCGGTCCGCTTATGGCTTATGTCTAGCATCCACAATCGCATAACTCTAGATCAGTCCATACTTGAGACGCCACTGCCATGGGCCGATGACCGTAGCTTGAAGTCAGTCATTACAGATTATGTGAATAAGCCTTCAGACAAAGCTGTCGGCCGATTCCCAAAGAGCATGAATATTGGAGACATGAACAGAATGGCGGGCTTTCAGTTCAAATGGACAAGCAATCTTAGTTACCATTTAATTTTGAAGGACTCAACCATATACCTTTTCCATAACGTGTCCGTACTAAAACGTATGAAGGCCTTACAGGAGTAAGTCAATTTCGATTACTTTGAATAGAAACGAAAACAGCAGTCAGCTAATTATTTAGTTTTCCTCTACCTCATGACTATATTGATGAGACCCTAGCGACTATTAGCCTCCTCATACCTTTGAACGACGCAAGATGCAATAGGTGGCTCCATGAACAAATTTCTGCTGGGCGGGTCGATAAACATATCAGGTATTGTCGTGAAGAGCCGGAACATAGCAAGTTATACTATGGGTATTGGCAAGTGAGACTCGAAAATATTGAAAAAGCTTTTGAGAGAGCCAGACCACGCAATATTTTTCAATGGATACACGACACTAGGGATTGGGAACGCTGGTGGGGATTCTGGCTCATAATGGCTGGTATATTCCTGACAGTTTTCTTCGTACTTATTCAATCTGTGACTGGGATTATTCAAGTAGTGAAACCTAACTAAGGATACGATAATAAAATAGCAACTAGTAATGACCGGCTTCTGTAATGAGACGTTAAGACAATACTTGTATCGACCATTTGAAATTTAGAACTTCCCATACTTTTATAAAGCTGAATTCCTAATTAATCTATTCATTGGAAAGGATATCTTACAAGGTAATTTACTCAATCCCCGCATTACCATATCTTAGACGTTAGCGGGGCATTTACGGGGCCAGAAACGAAGCTCTATATTGGTCTATATGGCTTAACTATCTAGATCTGTTACACGTGTAACCTCTGTGCCGGTTGAAGAATGCAGTTCGCCTTGCGCTTCGGCCGTACGAAGGACCATTGCAGGCTGTTCATGACCTTCCAAGACATGCAGGCAATATTGGGCAATATTGGAAAGTGAGGTTATACAGACTTCGCTTTTTGAAACAGACCCTAGAGACCCAGGCGGTCTGGGCTGGTAGATCATTTGTATATAGAGTCTTCTCAAGCCACCAACAGCCGAAAAGGAGTTGGTTGGTTATGAGATTACTAGGGGTCACCCTAGGTGGGTCCCACCTACGTCTGCCACCATGCTTAGATAATGGAGTGTTATGAACTAATGGAATCTTTTGGCCTATATAATTACAGGTTGCTAGAAGGACTGTCACAACAGCCGGTGTAGCCCGCCCTGTAGGGGCCTGGATGGCTATTCGGAGGTTATATATACATACAGACCGCCCGGATACACCAGTTTGGTGTATTGCAGACCTTTTGGGGTTGTTGACTGAGTGGCATACAGGCTAGCCATTGTGACAAGGGCGAACTAGAGTAGACGTGGGGTTATGACCTAACGCACCCGAGAAGCGAGAAATTGGCGTCTGTAGCCACTGCATGTATATACCTAGGTAATTCAGATAGCGGATAGCGTGCCATGTCCCTATACCCCCACGACGTTAAACACCATCAATCAATCAAATTAAAGGTTGCTAATGGCTTTCTGTTTCTGGTAAATGCAGCTGTCGTGATATGGTGTTTTGGAGTCCCTAGAGTGCATGTACCGCATACACTGAGATTATATTCACAACGCGCCGTTGGCGTGTAGAGTAGACTTTACCTGATTAAGGGCAATTTTCCACTATTTTCAGCCCTCGTACCAAATAGAAGATGGTTTCCCCAGTGGAATTTCCGGAAAATTGGGCTTAATGAGGTAAAGTCTACGTTACACACCAACGGCGCGTTGTGAATATAATCTCAGTGTATGCGGAATAACCCCATATAATACGTATCTATCTCATACATGCTTCGAAGGAGATTCCTCCCTTCTTCAACTTTAGTCTTATTTGATACCTACTGTGAGACTGAAGAGATTTATGATTGTACCTGACCTTGGAGATTCAACCTACACGTGACAGCAGCTCGTGCATACGCCGACCCTTACCGGTTCTAGCTGGTATAAACAGCGTAACCTCACTTTAGGATCTATTATAGAAGCCTAGCGATTTGTTAGAGCACTTAGCAAAAACAGCACTATATTTTTGTATAATGGTGGCGTCTATAGAATGGCTGATTATATCTGGCACCTGTATTGTAATCAAGCTGAGCTTCGTCCAATCAAGGAAGATAATTTTCTTCTTAAGAGCGGGGTATTTAAAGATAATGCTCTGGTTCGTCCCCTTTTTTTTTCCTTTTTTTTTTTTCTTTTTTCTTCTTCAATATGTTTGACTTGTCCGTTCGATGTAATTGACAAGTTTTCCTTGATTATACAAACACAATTTATGTTTCTTCGGAGTGCAACAATGACAACAGCTGCTTCAACACCTCCACAGCGCCTCTTTAAACGAGATTTGGTGTTTTTATTGCCAAAGCTGAGGCGGACAAAACCTGAATATGTGAACTGCATTGGGGCTGAGGTTTCTTGGATCTCGACCACCGGATGGTCGGGGCCGGGACTGACGCTCTGGAACATTACTGGCGAGCTTAAGGACGACGCAAGCCAAACACAGGGTGCCATTCTGGAGCTCTGTAGGATAGAACTACGGGAGCTGAACTTGCCTACCAAACCTTACGTTATCCGATGCTTCTTCCTGGGGCTCACAAAATACAGCGCCTCACCGATCGTCGGTGTATTATGTGACGACCGAGACTACAGTAGTGCTCTAAAAAGGATAATTGACGACAGTCAGCTTCAAAGTTGGCCTTGCGTAAGATTGCATGTCACTGTTCAGGCCTTAATGGTGTCAGATATCCCAGCAATGACATCTACCGATTTGAGAGCATACACGGTCCATACACTCGTCGACAAGATCCCCGAGAATATGAACGCAGTAGGAATAGAGATACGGAAGGATAATCAACCTATCAGCAAAGCGACTATAGGCGGAATCATTGTGGCAGACGGTGAACATTTCGCGCTGACTGTAGCCCATGCTTTCACTTACCCACATCACTCTGGCCCAACACCTGGACCTTTGGAGATCGACGTATCTGAATTGAAAGACCTTTTCGAAGGCCCCAAGCCAACAAGTTTCCCTGGTGAAAGATATACGAGTATGGTCTCGGTTTCACAGTTACCACCGGCAAAAGAGGTGTTGTCCGCAGGGGTCTCGCCTCCTGCCCCGATCGCAAGTTCTGGCGGCGGAATTCATATTGGTGAATTGAGCATCATTTCAAGATTGTCATGTCATGATATAGAAACTCATCCTTCCCTCGATTGGGCACTCGTTAAACTTAACGACGCCCTACCTTCTCAGATTAGATATACTAACAGTATTCCTGTTGATGGCCATGGCCAGGTTGTGGTTCTGACTCCTCGGGCTTCTCTGCAAGGGCGGCTTCTGTCTGATGCGGTCTTTGGCTTACCAGTGCGTGCAGATCCGCAGTCAGTATCTACTATCCAAGTTGATTTAACCCAAGATGGCGACTCCGGGTCGTGGGTAATTGGTCCTAAGGACAAGGAGGTGCGGGGAATGCTGATAGGAGCTTGTCAGCCTCTGCATGAGGCGTACTTTCTGCGGATGGAAGAGATCCTGAAAGATATTGAGCGCCAAATCAAGAAAAGTGTGACAATAGCTTCAGAAGGCGACTCTGGCTCACTAGTTATCCCGGGAAACAAAGACAATGAAACCCTTACGGAAGAAGCAAGTTTGAGAATGACGGGTAAACCTGTACACGATATCGGAGGGAGGATATACAATACAGATCGGCCTGTTCCGGAACCAGCCATCAACGCTGTAAGCAATAAATCAAAATTACCGAATCACATCCTAGAATCAGACCCTCCTAACCCTAAGATCCAGCTCGAGTATTTTTACTGGATAAATGAGAGAAAAAAGGCGGTTCGCGACTTGGACCACGAGAAGAAGAAAAGAGAACCCAGACTGGACGTCATCCAAGTCATAGAGAAAGTGATCAAGCAAGCTGAGTTGGTGATCGAGCAGTGGAACATCGAGAACGCGGAAGACCTCGTGCCCCAGCGAAAGATGACCACTTTGATGGGTTACAACTTGGGTAAGCATGCACTCATCCAGCACTCATTATTCTTGGTATCTTTGAGTTCCAGAAAGATGAACAATAAAAGCTGACGGTACGCCTTATAAGATGAGAGATTGAGAAGGATCGAAGAGCTTCAAGCTGAGCACTTAAGGCTTCGAGATAGCATCGAAGAAATGGAAGACGAGAACTCCCCGGGTTGGGAGATTGCAGCCACCCAACTGAAACTCGAATTAGAAATCGTCGAGATAAAGCTCAAAATTAAAAGGGAAGAAGACATGGATGACCCTCATGTCAAAAGATGGGAGCAGGAGCTCGAAACTGCCAATCTAAAATTGGAGTTGGCTAAGTTGGACACGGCCCCGGCCAAAAATCCTGAGAATGAGAAGCGTATCACGGAGCTAAGGGCCATGATCAAGAACGCCGAACCCGAATAATCGTGAGAGAGTTCTAAAGGTCAACCTGGAGGGTACTTAGGACCGTAAAAGTCGACTCATTCCTTTCTTCTGCCCTTCTTCTATCAGCGTCAGGCAATTACTTCTTTCCTTTATTACGTTACTCGTTACCATGTTGTGCCCGATTGTAGCTAATCTACAGTGTTGATGCTATCGGTCGTTTATTTCCTTCCTAGATGGCTGCGATTGGAACGTTCCATTCTGTGTTTTCCTTTCATCGTCCAGGGTCGTCTTACATATCGATGGAGAAGGAAGTCCGGCTGAGTGTAGTTTAATGCCTGACCTAGAGATTATGTAGCCTTGTTGGTTGGAATTTGTTACCGAGTCCGCTCATTTGCTTGTCTTTAGCCAGATCCCTACATAGGTCAAATATCACATATGGTTGACTGTCGATCCAGTGTTCGGGCCATGTAGAAACAATACATAGGCCTAGCATAGGATTCCATCGTTGCGGTGCTTAATTAGATTAGGTAACATGAAGTCGTGATTGGCTGAAAGCGCCATCTACTGGATATAGTTGGCGATCATAGATATTGAAATGAGGTACTTGCGGATTTTAGTGTCTTAGTCTAATCAGCTACAGCCACAATTTGCTACACACCCCCCTCCCTAGTTGGACTACCTGGTCGGTGACACCTTGGTAGGCCATGCCAGCCAACAATGCTCTGATATTAGTTTAAAGGCGCTCAATTACCTTAGAAGTCTGGGCAAGACTCACGTGATCAGCGTTTGCTTATTAGGCAGACACGGTCAACACCTCAACATCACCAGTGTCAAATCTATTGATCGCACCCGAAAAGTTTTACAGCATATCATTATCATTTCATGAAATAGACACCATGAGGAGAGCTCGACTTTGTGCCCATTGCAGTAAAATCCCCTTCCAAGAGTTGGCATGTGCGACTGCATCAGAGCTAAAAAGCGCTGTGGAAGAGTGTGCGGGGGATTTCGAGAGATGGACTCCCAGGCACTTTCCTGCCTGGAAGAATTCGGGCGCTTGGCCAGTCAATCTGGGCTCACTTGAGCGGATAGAGAAAGATTCAGAGCACTGTGGATTGTGCTCTGTGATATTTGATACCTTATTGCGACAAGGATTGACCGACTATAATGGCGCTCTCATCCCTCGAGGTGATGAGGTTGTGTTCAGGGCAGGAGTAAACACTTACGGTCGTATTACTGACTCGCCTAACATCATTAGCTCGCCTCTAGAGCGAGAATTCTACTTTTCTTTGCTTAGGCTCACGGTAACTGCATATTGAGATCACTAACTAACTTCGTTCAAGCTTGTGACGTGGGGGCTGGTGAGTGGGTAGATGACGAGGTTTTTGACCCCAGTTCAATGTTATTTTCGGGGAGGAAGCGTCCGAGAACTGTGAATATCGACTTATTGCGCCATTGGTTACGTCTCTGTCACTCTGGACACGAGAATTTGTGTGCCCAGCTAGAACACGATAACCCCCAAGCCAGGCGGTACGATAAATTGTCATTGTACGATTTCATATTGCATGTGATTATTTGCTAATTAAGCATTCACTTTGGTTTAGGATTCGTCGAATTCGTTTTATAGACCTCAAAGATCTCTGTGTGCGCACGTTGGAAGACTTTGACCATACTCAGCGAGGGCATGAGTATGTAGCTTTGAGTTATGTCTGGGGCTCACCCAAACAGGCAACCTTGACCTCAGAGAATATATACATATTGGGTCAGACAGGCGAGCTCACGAAGCAATGTCTTCCGCAAACCATCTCCGATGCTATTCAGTTGGTACAATTATTAGGATTTAGATTCCTTTGGGTGGACGCTCTATGTATAATCCAAAATGACGACGGGGATAAAAGCGAGCAGATAGGAAACATGTCCCAGGTCTATGGTCTTGCTTTCCTCACAATTATAGCTGCTTGCGGCACTAACTCCATGTCTGGCTTGGCTGGACTTCGCCCAGGCACCCGCAGTTTTGAACAGAGGGAGGTGGTAGTAATTCCCCCCGGTACTGGTAGCGCTGGTCTTTCCTTGTTGACCACATGCGAGTCCCACCAAACCGGATTTTGGAGTCCATCTGGTAGCGATTTCGAACTCAGTGCATGGAACAGTCGCGGATGGACTCTGCAAGAGCTTGCCATGTCTCGACGCTGCTTGATTTTTACTCGACACCAAGCCCTGTGGTCATGCGGCGGAGGGTTCTTCTGTGAGGAGTCCCGCTTTGAACACCCACTTCTGGACCCGGATGTTAAGAACACTGCCCCATTTTCCATGCCTATTCGCTTTGCTTTGTATTCGGTTGGAAATGTGCTAACAACGCAACGCATCAACGGTACCATGTCACGTTTCATAACGTCATCGGAGCAATTCTGGGACAAATATAACCGACTGGTCCAGAATTTCACATTCCGGCAATTTTCTTTCAACGGGGACAGATACGATGGATTCAGAGGCATTGAGGATGCACTACATCAAATTTCTGGCGAAGAATTCTATTGGGGACACCCACGGTCCCGCTTTGAGTTTTCGCTTTCTTGGGTGCCTGAATATGGATTACATCGCAACGACGACAAGACCACGCTGCCCATAACCTCGCTCAACCAAAGAGTTTCTTTTCCCAGCTGGTCGTGGATGGGTTGGATTGGACGCGTTAGCTGTAGTGTCAGGAGTGTCAGGAGTGTCAGATTAGCTAGGTAAGATCTCGCTTGTAACTTTGAATGGCGGTCATACTGATAGACTATTAAAATTTCGAACTGAAAGTGAAAATCCGGAGATTGTATGCTTTGCTCATACAATCAATCCATTAGGTGTACATGCAGTCCTCAAGCACGGGATCAATCGCTTCGATGATTTTTAAAAACGGTCTATTCGGAACACTGCACCGTGGAAAGGGGGCAACACAGAGACGGTTGCTCCCGCGGACATACTTAGAAACCTCCCAAACTTGTCGGAAGACAGACTCCGGGGCATCCCGGAGGGCCATATTTTATTTTTCTGGGCCAGTACAGCGCTCTTCACCATCAACCCTCCAACTTTCTGCGACTCTAACAACTTAAACTATTACACCAGTGGAAGCTACCCGTCTGTCCTAGATAAGCAGAATTGTGAGGTTGGGACCATGGAGAGAATGGATTTTAAGCATTGGTCAAGTTTTGATAGAGAAGATACTAGACCGTCAGAGTTCATTGCGGTGGCTCGGCGTTATGACCCTCAGGACCCTAACTGCGTGGCTCGAGTTTTCGCACTACAAATCAGGTGGGAAAACGGCATTGCATATAGGGTTAACATTGCCGGGATTAAGGAAACAGCATGGATCAAGGCGAATCCTGTCTGGAAACTGATCGCTCTCCAATAGGAGTCTCTTATGGTAAGGATGAACAGAAGCGGGCACTGTACTGTCAAACAATCCACGAGCTGACCAGCTGCAGTCATTCTATATTTCAAACGATAGGGATATATTTAAACTGCCAGCAGTCGCATTATTCCTTGCTAGACAATTGATACAGGAATAACAGAGGCCTGTGGATGTATCTCACTCTGTAGGTTAGTGAGATCCTTTCATGCTTTCATGTTACAACCGCTGCTAACTCAAACAGGGATTCATTTCAAACTTACATGAATGACAGATGCACGTAGCCGATACTGTGCAGGATACCGCGCAGCTCCCATATAAAGTTTCGATGCGTTTTCAGTTTGCAACACACTTAAATCATTGCAATCAAGATTATACAGAAGGGCAGCTTACAGCCACAGAAAGTGAGCTAGTATTGGTCAACCACCTGAGGCTGTCCAGTGCTGATGATGCGTAGGTGCATATTCAGAAACTTTGTCGGTATCCCCAAGTAACTTCTTCCATGTCTACAACCAAGCTGTACTTTGATGGTACTTTTGCACGGGCGGGTGTTGTAGAAAAAAAAGAAAGAAGGTGCTGCAGAGAGGCGAAGCACGGTGACGCAGATTCCCAGGAAACGGTAGACAAATGTGCTACACGACAAACGGGCGCTTATCGCCGTCGCCTGGAAGAAGTCACACAATGCCACACACACTCAAAAGCGCTTCAATTCGCGATCCCTCCAGAGATGTCCGCTTGTTTCTCCTGCGACGCCTCACTCAACCTTGAATGATATCAAGTAGCTGCTCGTCAACGGACTCAAACTCAATACGTTAGCTGCGTCAGTTATGCATAGGTGGTCTCCCACAGAAGATACAACATTCATACCAGTGCGTCCCTCTCTCGCCATATTCATATACACTTCCCGTGTACGTGTCCTACCTAAGGTAAAGCTGCCCAAGCTTGAACTTCAAAGCCGGTTACATAATCTCATATGACAGCATCTCAACCAAAACGCAAGATAGAATGGAGGATCTTCGCGATGCTAAGGAGACCGTGTCGGAATTCGCTGCGCTAATCGACAACCTCCGGCCCGGCGCTGACACCTCTCATCGTCGACTAGAGCGACCCGACGTCCTCGTCGCCATGCGCCAGAACTCTACAGGTTCGCAGAAGAGCGCAAAGAGTACTATCAGCTCTCGCTGGAGAACCAAGACCTTAAAGAAAGATTGGGATGAGACTACTGAGGGTATCTGTAAGTACAGAACGACAAGCTTGATACCCCCGACCCTACGTGTTGTTGGTCCCTGGATTACATTACTCTACCAAACCCGCCTTACCGGCAAATATGGTCTGAAGCAATCGACAAAACATGCAATCCTCGATGTCATTTGCGCCGCAGAATACTAACGAAAGCCACCTCTAGTGTGGAACGAGCTAGAACGATCGCAGAACGAGGTGGCGCATCGGTACAAGCTTGACCAGACCGCGCTGAAAGAGTTCATCAGCTCCCCGAACATGATGGATCTCGGATGCGAGTTCGCGCGACACTACTACGGCGATCCTGTGAAAGAAAAGGCTTATTGGGCTGCCGAGGACCTCTTCTTCGACCTGCAGGCCGTTAAGCAAGGCGATGTTCCCTCCGCACGGCGGGCCAAGGCCAAGGTATACAAGAAGGACTGGGATCTGGCGGACCATCTCGTGCGCTTCGTGCTCCTCGCCGAACAGTACCGTCTGTGCTCGGGCCAGGAGAAGTGGATTGCCTGGCAATGGGACTTCGGTGGCAAGATCGCTTTCTACCTTAGTGTCCTGCGCTGCTACACGGTTCGAGAAGCGAAGCAGCGAGAGCTGGCTAATAAGGCTGCTAGTTCGTCGTCGACGCCGTCGCCGCTTCCGGCTCAGAATGGCAAGGGCTGGAAAGTCGAGCGGGCACCTAGAGTTCATCATTTCGAGAACAAACCTTGACGCACAAGGACCATCGTTCAGAGAAAAAAAGGGACGGCGGGGATTATCTTTGTCAGCGGTTATGAGAAGCTAGATACAGCGTCTGCGTTCTCCTATTTTGGCCGCTTGATAGGCTTGAAGGTGCGAAATACACGACGAGGGCCTCGTAAGGATAGGCTATGTTATTTGATTATAGCTACATATACCCATCAAGAGAAGAGTGTTAGACAGATAGCTACGACATGCTTCCTATAGTGCTAGTTGTAGCACTGAAGGGAACATGCCTGAGATGAATACCGTCCAGTGTTGTCGCAGATTACTACTTATCGCCGGTGAGTAGCTTCGGAGGCTAACTACCTAAGAATCATTGATTGTGCACCCTAGGCTGCGGCAACTGATAGCTCCATGATCACCTCAAGTCAGGCGCTCAGTGCGCACGTAAGGGAAACTAACTGAAGCTGTATGCTGTGTCTTTCTTAGTATGTAGAGAGTCGTGGATTGAGCGAGCAGCCGAAGACTTGAAGTAAACTGATCATACCATCGTGGGCAGTATCTTTCAGTGGAGGATAGTGGTTGGGTTAGGTGTGTTTTGGCTGTGGCGCAGTTGTCCCTCCCACTACCTAGGTACCTAAGGTACCTAACCTAGGTGGCTTCGGTAGGTACATCTTAGCCCCTGCCAGGTTAGCTGCGACTTGTAAATACTTACTATAGGTACTGATCCTGTGCCTGCCTCCGGCTGTTCAGGTCGCCACAGTTGATGAGACAAGTTGGGGTAGGTAGGTACCTACCACCTGTAGCGTTCCAGTACACTAAGCCACAATTTAAACTTTGGCAGCGGCAGCCGTCTCATCTCATCTCATCAAACGACGTGAGACCGTGTCTGTCTTATTCATCCGCGCAACTACATGCCGTCTTTTCCATCTCTCTCATCTCTTGTTTCAACAATTTGGGCAACTCCTCATCCCATTTCCCTCTTGTACCGGTACTATAGCTCGGTCTTGGCATTGGCGACTTTGCAATTCGCGCATCTCTTTTGCCATGTCCGACCAATCAGACAGTGAGGACCATCTGTCATGGAATACTGTCGAGTCCCTCAGCGACCAGGACTCCGATGAATCGGAAACAGATAGAGGTGAGGGGCTATTTGACATGGAAGCAGAAGAATCTGATGGCCATGGTGAAGACGAAGACGAAGATGAGGATGATGCTCGTTCTGATAACCACCTCCACTTCTTCCCGCAGTTCTCTAGCTTACCGGCTGAGCTTCGTGCCATGATCTGGGAATCTGTTGATCCCTACTTGAAATCCAAGGGAAGGGTCTTAGCCTTGAACATGGTCAAATTCCCCACACCCGATATATGGGAGTCTGCGCTCTTAGCAGAGCAAACCGCCCCAGCACGGGCGCTTCTCGCTGCTTCCAAGGAATCTCGTGATATAGCTTTAAAACACTACCCAAATGTCGTTCGGATACAACGTGGGTATGTTGACATCCGCTTCAATAGTGCCAACGACATTATCCTCCTCCACCCTCGCGAACAGCAGCCTCCAGATGTAAGAAACTTCGCATCCGATTTACAGCAAGTCAAGTACCTCGCCTTTGACTACTCCTTTATTGATCCGGATTCTCACGACGACTTATTTCCTGGCCTAGAGAGTCTTCCGCCTCTACTCGAAAACCTCAGTGCTCTTTTTTGCTGCTTTCAGGCAAACGAAGTCAAGCGTCGTGATCTGACATGGTCAGTGTCAGAGTCTTCCAAGCAGTTCTACATGGAGATGTTAGAGAACCTGTCTTATAGAGACGAAGTGCTCAAGATATTGTATGCTTGGCCTGATCCGAATCTGGACCAAAACAAGGCAGACTGCGTTGGCGAGGAGTGCGTGCTTCAATATCCAGCCATGGCCAAAATCAGCACCCCTCCTATATGGCCATTAGTAGAGTACTCATTTGACAGCGGCATCGAATTGTACGAGAAGGTGAAACGACGTTGCGCAAGGAAGGTGGATAAGGCGGCTAAAGCTGGTACTGCGTCTCCATCGTCTTCTGAATCATCGGAAGGAGAATCTTTCTATGAGTCTGAGTCAGATGACTATGAACTGGATGGCTTCATCGTCGACAATTCCTCAGAAGGAAGCGAAGAACCCAGCGAGGATGGAAGCATATTAAATGGAGACATGGTTGATGATGACACACGAGTCGAGGATGATCCTGATGTCTTCAATGGATTTTCGCCACTCGAGGAAGAGGACAGTCATGATGAAGCAGCTGATGGTTTACCGGGAACTATCGCTGTCAATCACGACTATGAATCCGAAGAAGAGTTGTCGGACGAGCAATCCGCTGGAGAGGAACCACAACCCACAACACAAACCGATCGACGCAAGCGTATGATTATTTCTTCGGACGATGTAGATGATGGGGAAGCTGGTAATGAAGAGCCTGCTACGGGACCTCCTAGGCGTGCGAACAAACGCGCTCGGGTCGTACTTTCGGACAGTGAAGACGACGAAGATGGCAACCGAAATGAGATTGGATCCGAGGCGGAAGAAGCATCCCGGCCAAAGAAACGCACACGCACCGTGCTTCCAGATAGTGAAGACGAGGAGGATAAAGAAGAAGAAACCAAAGTTAAAAGACGCAGACGACCTCGGCCCAAGCTGGATAGCGATGAAGAAGAAGACGAAGACGAAGTCAACAATGGTGAGGAAGAGGATGTATCAGAGGATGAATATGACGAAGATGAAGATGACGAGGAGGAACCAGCTTCAAAACCAATGTCTCTCATGGAACGGTTGCGCCAGTTCCGCTCCGACGTCCCAGTCTCTCCTGAAGGCGGGTCGCCGGGTTCATCTGAGGACTATGACAGAGCGGAGCGGGACGAAGATGATGATGAAGAACAAGGGCTCTCTGATGCTGAATTTCCGGACTCGGCTGCGGAAGATGGGGATGAAGATGGATGGTAATGATTTGGGGGGTTTGAACCTTTCGTGCTTGGGCTGGCTGGGCCCGTTGCTCTTATATTTCGCTTCGACATCGCGGTATACATATAATATTTGGCGATGTGGGTATAGAGGAGATTAATACCGTTGTTGATTCGTCGTCGGCATTATAAGATTTTAATGAAATAAGTTGAACCCCAATCAAATTAATGCGATGAGGCTTTGAGGTTGAAAATATTGATTGTGAGTGTAGGTATTCGGGTAGTGGGTTGCACATATATTGAGGTAGCTATCTAGATACCTCCTTCGATATCGTTCAAAACGACTTGTTGTAGAGCATGACGTATCGACAAGAGGTCATCCAATCCGAGATACCTTTCAATAAGATCAGTCTTCCCTACAAGAAATACTCATTGAATCAAATGGCCACTCGAGGTTATCTATTCCCTTACCTAACTAACAACTAGGCTGTACAAAGAGGGTTGTACAGGTAGGCGGCTTAGGGCGTTGGGGGCCTAACCATATCAGGGTACGCTAGAACTATTAATAGGTTGCACTTGCTCAATGCTATGTCAGCATAAAGAGCTTGGCTCTATTTCGGGATCTCTTCAGCGAAGATCTTCCCCGGATCAGGTGATTCCATAATAGGTACATTGTGCAATATGAAGCGCACACTCTCTATTATTAGTAATTGACTTGTGGGTGCACAGAAGGATTGACGTGGAGGCAACAATGAATGCTCTTATAAGAAGAGACGATGGTTAGGTAATATTACCTACCATCTGACGAAGAGTTGTGGCTGCGTTAGGACGACGCAGCCTTCAGACTGACGATATCCTTGTTATAAGGGTATTTGTGATGAATATCGGCAAAATTTAGCCGCTTATTGCAGCTTACGACTTCTCTGTTAACTGCCTACCTAGGCAGACAGACTTCATGAAGATCAGCACTCAGAATCGGACACAGTGGCGAGTTGAACCTCTCATAAAGGGTGACGCCGGTAGCTCTGTGAGAGATAGTTCTAATTTGCAATCTATGTCGCTCATATTCTAGGCAGAAAAGACCAAATAGAACGTGGGTTAGCTCGTACCTTGCACAGCGACAATGGGTGAAGAAGAAGCCGCTAAGGTGTCGCCGGTAGCCTGGGGGCAGCACCTCTACCTCCAGACGAGGCTGAAGGAAAAGAACGGCCGCATTCGTCTGCTCACGATCCAGCCGCACCAATACACCGTGTCGAGACCAGAAGTCACATCCGACTCGATTCATTGTTTCTTGAGGCTCGCGGATCTGAAGCAGCGCCCACAGTTCACCGTCGTCTCTCATCGCTGGCACCCCACAGACGCGGCAGATGAGACGAAGTCGCTTTTCGTGAACGGCGCCCCCGTGCCCGCTTCCACGGGCTTATTCGAGGTCCTGCATCAACTGCAGCGGGAGACGGAGCCCGTCGTCGTCTGGATCGACGCGCTCTGCATCAACCACGCAGACGAGGACGAGAGGGAGAAATCCGTGCAGGTCTCCCAATTAGCGCAGATCTATTCCGCCGCGGAAAAGACATTTGTGTATCTGGGCGCGACGAGCGATAGAAGCGACGAGGCGATGAAAGTCCTGAGACGCCTTGCCGACGAACAGCTCACGCTCAATGCGTTCATAGCGAATTGGACGCCTCAGTTGGGACACCAGCTCGTGCAGAAGATGCTGCCGGCAAGATTCGTGCATTCTAGCGCGGCTGAGAATAAAGAGCCGCTGGAGTTGCAGCAGGAGCTGGATTCGCTTCGCGCACCGCTCAAGGCTCTCATGGAACGCGACTATTGGACGGATCTGTGGTCTCTTGTTGAGCTGTGCTTGTCGCATAGGGGTCTTGTCGTCTGTGGCAAACATGCTCTGCCCCTTGATCATTTCTACTCCGCTGCGCGGGCTTTGGATCATATTATTAATCATCTGACGTACTCGAAATGGCTCGCGGCGGCCATGAACCCTGCTACGTCGAGCGCGCAGAGCACCGTGCTAAGCGGTGAGGAAGTGTCGAATATTTCGCAGTCCCCTGCGTTGCGCATCCTTGGGAGACGCGATGAGTATAGAAGGGACGCAGACTCGTGGCTGAAGGCGCTAGATAGTCCCCTTTTCACGCTCCTCAGCCGCTTCTACGCGGAAACTCAGCTGCCTTTACGCGTCAGCGATCCGCGCGACAGGGTCTATGCGCTGGCGTGTCTGGCTACGGATATCAGTGAGCTCGGGCTCAACGTAGATTACCACAAGGACGTCGACGCGGTATACGCCGAGACCTCGGCGGCGTTTCTCCAGAAGCATCCGCGCGTCCTCCAGCTCGCGCGGGGTACACTCTCCGCAGGAGATAATCTAACGTCATGGGCGATAGATTGGGGGAACATGCGGCCGCCACCGCCTTCGACGTTGTCATCTTCAGAGCGACCGTTTAATGCCTGCGGACCAGCTGATTCGCGATTCTACCGCGCCGAACTCAGCGCGTCGAACCAGATCACCTTGAAAGCGGCCGTTGTGGATAAAGTGCAGGAGATTGGGACGCCGTACCAAGTAGCAACAGAATCAGAATCAGAATCCGAAACAAAAGCAAAAGAAGACGCAAGTAAAGATGAAGTTGGAGATGGCGATAAAGACGAGAAAGAGCGACAGCGCACATATCTCTCGGAAATCAAGCAATTCTGGGAAGAATCAACAGCATCCCTCAACTCGCCGTACTTCGCAGAGCAAGCCGCCGTCGCGCTGGCGAAGATCCCCGTCGGCGACATCGAGGTTAATCCTGCGTCGGGCGCGCTTGTCCGGGCGTCGACGCTGGCGGTGGAGGGGTATAAACGGACTTATGAGGCGCTGTTCCCAGCCGAGACTGAAAGTATCGAGGATGATGCGCGGGAGATGGATAAGGGGATAGAGGAGGAAGTGAGAGAGGGGGTGGAGAAATTGAGCCTTACCCCGAGTATACCTTACACTATGGCCATGGCCCGTATGGTTGGGCGACGACCGTTTAGGTCGAATAATGGGTATGTAGGTCTCGGACCGACGGATCTTGCTGTTGCGGATACGATTGCTATTCCGTATGGTTCTTGTGTGCCGTTTGCGTTTCGACGGGTTGGGGGTGAGGGAGAGGGCGAAGATGTCGTGTATAGGTTGGTGGGCGAGGTATATGTTTTTGGGATCATGGATGGGGAGTTTATGAAGGTGCATAGACAGGAGAGTGTGTTGAGGGTTGTGTAGGTGTGTGTATCTTGCCAGGTCTAGAGATAGGGGCAGGGAAATGGTGCTTGTTGTGTATATAGATAGACAGAGAGCGAGAGCCTACATTATCTTTCTTGACATTGGGGTTGGTATCGCTATGACGAGGTGATGATGAGAGGCATTGATCACTTCCTTGTTTGAGAGATAGAATATACCCTTCCTTCTCACATATCTGAACTGATGTCCGAGTTTATACATTTCGTCAACTGATTGATACTGCAAAGTGCAATTCCTCAGTAAGCGTGTCACAATTTGTGAAGTTCTTACGGAGAAACGTATTACTAAAAGAATGTACGATATAACTAATTAAAGGCCGAGGCATACTTGTGCCCAAATATTAGAGTAAAAGGCTTCACATGCTGTATGTTGGAAGTATGTCTTAGGCATGTTGTTCGAACTATGGTCGGGATAAGCCTCACTGAAGTGTATGAGACAAGGAATAAAAAAGGAAAGGTTGTCACTGCAGCAAAACTTGAGTTCTCACTCCAAGATTTCCTGTGCAATAGTATGGCCCATAAGCTAACCGCAAACCCAAAACTCAAGATAACAGGGATGCAACGCTCTAAGATTTTCAGTGAGGGGCTGAGAGCACTAGGAAGACCCGGTGATGTATCAGCTAAAACGGAGCAGCAAATTCCAAGACCTGAAGCCTCGTACGCCGAATAGCCCTTCTAGAAGGAAGATCAAAAGGCTCGGAACTACTCTTCGTCGACCTCGCCGGCTCTCAATGTCGCCCTCCTAGCGCTAGGCTTTCCTAACTCAGTCTTGCTAACACTTATACGCCGCTTTAAACCCTAAAACTAGAAGAAATAGAATATGAAGTCAGTTTGAATATTTCTATGCCAATTGTTAGCAATGATTCAACCAACCCGCAGGGCACAAACTGGTTAAGCCGGAGTTCCAGCTTGTCGTGTGGAAGTGGGTGTGAGCCGTATATACTGTTAATACCTTCACCATATTAACGGCGTCGCTTTTTCCGTGACACCGGCCACAGGCTACTAAAGCAAACAAACCTCAATTGAAACTTCCGTTATTAAAAACGAATGTATTCTGTGCTTCTATGCTTCACAGTTCTGTTAGTATCTTCTATATATTAAACTCTGTTACAAAATCTGCAATTTCGTCAAAACCCACTTCAGCACATGAATCTTCCCGCCCTTCTCTCGAGCTTCACCGTAAGGATCCGGCGGAAAATACGATCCTACTTCGTAACTCTACAGATAGATCTTGAACTGATGCAGAGACTTGGGAGTTGTTGGGGGCACTGCAGCTCACATACAGCCAGGCAGACTTAAGTACCTAGCTACTGCAACGAAGGATATCTAAGGGACCCCGCACCGCTATAGATAGCTGCCTACCTACCTAGGTAATTTAGGTAGGTAAACAGAGACAGACTATCCCAACTCCCAATCCATCAGTTTCACCGTTTTCTTCTCACCGAGATGGACAAATTACCTGCAGAGATCATCGAGACCATCCTGTCGCACCTAGAAGGGCAGGGGCCGCAGTCGCAATACGCTACCATCTCGTGAGCATAGCAGAGCGCAGTCGAGCGACGCCTGTTTCGATCCCTCCACATAAACAGCACTGATCAAGACCTGGATCAATTCGTTAGCGCCGGCTGTCGGGAAGTGCCGTGCTCTGCCCCGCCATCTCACTTACACCACAGAGACGACACTTGACGTCTGCCGCATCAAACCGCGAACCGAGCGACTCGTTCGTCTCAGCAACGTCGTGACGCGCGGCGTACAGCGGCTCTTTCAAGCCCTAGCCGATGGGTTTGATGACCGGCGTAGTTTGACACTTACCTTGGGGCGGATCGCGTTTCCGAGCGAGGCGCAAAATCGCAAGGACAATCGCCAGCGCATCCATTTAGTTGGCCACGGCTCAAGCAGTTCTCTGCCTGTTTGGGACTGCCTACCCCGTCGGGAAGCTGGTTTTTTTTAAATCGCACGCCAAAGACGAAGTGACGCGATGCGCCTTGCGGAAAGACTTTGCAACCACTAGTAAAGTCATGTGTTGACGAGAAAAAAGGTATAGCTTTCTAAGCTAGGAGTGCTCCTAGTGCAGCTACCCTCTAAGCAAACGCATAAACTTTTGTACATAATATAGCCCTTAATAAATACATGACATAATTATAATAGAGTAGATAAAACAAGAGTGTCAACTCTGATTCTGGTATTGTGTGTCATAATATGGCAAGAATTCACGACGCCGCTGTAGCTGGGGTTGAGATCATTGGTCCAGTCAGGCCATACTCTTGTGATTTCTTGGCACTGTCAGGCTGTAGGCATTACTCTCGGACTTGCATGATCAGGCTGTAGGCAGATTCTATGCGTCGTGGAGCTCGGTTTTTGACCCTTTCAATAACAGTATCGCGCTTCTATCAGTTGGTAGCTCAGCTTCAATGACCAATAGATTTCCCTGCACATACTAAAATAACTTCGAACGGTCGCTCTCTACGGCCTAAGATGTCTTCTGCGCTATTTCCAGGCCTCCTAACCCCTTTCCAGCCTGACCGGGGAGAAGACACGCTGTGCATATTTTGCGAGCAATTAGTGACTAATTGGAATTCTGAACCATTTCATGTAGACCATCATCCTTCACTATTGTCCTTAATGAATTCCGCTGGTCATTGCTCCCTTTGCCGGCTGTTACTAAAATGGATCAACAACAAGGCTACACATCTAGAGCGCGAAGCTCTCGAGAGGTCCAAACAGGATACTAAAATCTATGTCATCGAAGCTGGCGAGCTAGTTAATAAGAGCACCGTAAAACGACGTGTGTTTTGCGTAGATACTCCTGACGATAAATTCCCGTCATTATCCATACCCAAAAAACAGGTGGCAACACAAGCAATCCCCGCGGATGTCTCTATCTCTATTCACCTGCTTATGGTCAAGGAGGACAAAGGTTGGCTGGATTCTATCGAATATTTATTTGGCAGTGCTCTCGGCTAATTGCAATAGACTCTAGATCACTTGTTCGTAGGCCTATATGGTCCAGTATGAATCATCTAAGCCTGGAGATTCGAATCGCGACTGGTCATGAGTGGCTACGACAATGTGAGGCCGAGCATATCGAATGCAGAGCTCAGAGATTTTTCTCGCAACATCAAGCTTTGCCAGCACGTATGGTCGATGTTAAGCCAAATGGAAACATGGATCATGTCGCCATCATTGATCCGTATGTTCTTGGTGACAGCTTCAAGTACCTCGCTTTAAGTCACTGCGTATGTGTTCCAATTTCTATTGCTTTCATTCTTAGATACTAGTTAAGTAGTTAGGTTACCGTTGTTAATGAAACATGCAGTGGGGAAAGAATGGTAGTCCTACTCGCACAACCAAGGACAATCTTACGGAACATGAAAAGGGTCTTCGAATTGAGTTCCTGTCACGGTCCTTCAGGGACGCTGTCAGAATTACTAGGCTTTTGGGTTACAAGTTCCTATGGATCGATTCCCTGTGTATTGTCCAAGATGACATTGATGACTGGGAAAGGGAGGCGGCTAAAATGGCCTCGATCTTCCACTGTGCGGATATAGTCATTAGCGCGGCTTCGGCTGGAAGCTCTGCGGATGGACTTGGCATCGATAATTCTTTTCAGGGAGCCTCTAGGCTTTTCTCTCCCCCGGTTCCTAACTCTAGATACGATAATCCAGCTCAAACACAGGGCTTACCAAGGAAGCGATTATTTTTCCGAAAAGCTGGCACTTCAAATAAAGGTCTGAAAGATCTCCCTATCCACAAGCGAGGATGGATATTTCAGGAGATTCTACTGGCTCGGCGGGTGCTTTACTTTGTTCACGGCATATGACTTGGCAATGTCATCACCTGGTCCAGTCCGAGGATGGTGAACTCTCGCGCACATTAACTTCCAGCATCATTCGAGGGTCCAGCACACAACCTTCAAACCCTTTCCTTCATTTCGAGTCCGCGATACAGTATGAAACTAGCACCGACGTGGACATGTGGTGGAGTATCTTAAGGGCCTTTTTTCAAAGACAATTTACCAAGTCGGACGATGTCTTGCCATCGCTAGCTGGCGTCATATCTCTTTGGCAGTGGCATACGAATGATGAGCCAATACTTGGCATGTGGAAAAAAGACCTCCCGTTTCACATGTGTTGGTTTTTTGGAAATTCTCTATCGGTTGTGGACCGAGTACCTGGGCAACCATCTTGGTCCTGGACATCAGTCCCGCAGGGGCAGAAAATAGATATCAACCATGTTTCTTTTATCCAAGATCTCTCAGAGCATGTGATCTGGCAAGCGAGTATCGAAGCTGTTGATATAAAATGGGTGGCACTCCCCTTTGTTTCGCCCCTCAGGCATGCTAGTCTTTCGCTACGTCGAGTGCAGGTGACAAAAGGGAACTTTTACCAAGCTATGACTTACAGGTTGGACAACAAAGAGGAGAATAATTTCTATAAGCAAGGAGACCTAGAGATTCTTCCACTTTTCATAGCAATACCCCACTACACTCAAAAGATCGATGATGGCCGATTCCACATGTGCTCCCTCCTTCTCGAGCATATCGATCTGGGCGATGGACAGACCAGGTATCGCCGAAAAGGATACGCGGAATTTTTGTCGTGGCCAAAATACTCCGAGTCTGAGATTCACGAGAGAGCGGCGGAGATCATATCTAGTATCAAGGAGACCGATGTCGTTGCATTAGTTTAACAATGGGCCGAGGTACATGTGCATCTATGAGAGATGAAGGCCGCTTTTGTATTACACACCCATATTATGATAGAGACAACGAGCGCCCTCTTGATGCGAGGCAAGCCCCTTGCTATCCTAATTAATTATATTGAGCAATACGACGGCAACTCTCGATTTCTAAATTGAGTTTGACCGTTCCTTTCTGTCTTAGCGCCACACCTAGCCCCACGGTCATTTCCTCTTGTTAATAGCGACAGCTACTTCTAGTTCAAGAGAACTTTGTATGGAGAATTGGTATCTCTGACCTGCACCGTGGTATATCGTTTAGGTATACACTTCTACAAATTCAAACATAACGTAAAAGCCGCGACAGTCGAATAGTTAACGTCACGTGATGATCTCTGTCCTGTGGGAGTTGGAGAGGTACGAGTGCGTAACAGAGCGGTGCGGCCCATCGCATCTTGCGAATTGACTGAACCTGGGTTTTTCTTGAGTTCCTCGACCAGATAACCGAACCGAAGCCCTGTCACAATTTCATGAACACCGGGGAAATTCTAGTTCGCAATCCAATCACTGCTACTCGTCACTGCACGAGAGGGCCGCGACTGTTTCCCTAGACAGGCCACCTTGCAAGAGGATATCACTTGTCTTATTTCGAGGACTGTTTTCGGGGAGCGGTTTTGGCCTATATGTGTCAGAGTGGTTGGTCCTAGAGTGAGTAGAAGGTCAGTCACAGTCAAGTAGGTATAGGCGTCAATAAGCAAAAACCCTGCCTCACAACCACCCCCCGTCACGACCAGGGCCCTAGGCACCCTAAAACGCGCTTTAACTCCCAACCACCTAATTAAATACTATTTAATAACGCAACCGCGTTTAGGTCTTACGATAACTTTTTACCCTTATTCTATTTAAAATTAATTCCTTTTTATCGTTATATCTTTTAATTTTAAAAATTATCATATTATAATTACTATTTATATAATTTAACTTAAAACTTTAATTTAAATAATAATATATATTTAAAATATTAATAAATTATACTTATATTATTAGCTTTAAAATATTCTTATTAAAAAATAAACCTATATTAACCTTTAAACTTTATTAACTTATTATAAATATTAATTAATAAATTAAGCAATAAAATAAATTAAGCTAAGCTTTATACTTTTACTTTTTAAATTTAAACTTATAATTAAATATATATTAATTATTTTAAACAATAATAAAAGCTTTAAAAAAGAATAATATATATATTTTTTAATTAAAAATAATAAAGTTAAATTAGTTAAATTATAATTTATTAATTATATATATATTAATAATATAATAATAATTAATATTAACTTTTTTTTTAATTATTTTAAAGCTTTAAAAATTATAAATATTCCTTTTAATTATTTTTATAATATTAATAAAATAAATATAAAATAAAATATTAATAATAATTATTAAATAGTTATTAATTTTATTTTATATTAAATTTTTAAAAAAGCTATTAAAAAAAGTAAATAGATTATTATTTTTAAAACTATTAATATTATTAATAATATTTTACTATTATTAATAATTTAAAAGGATATATAAATATAAAGTTAATAATTTTTAAATTAAAATTAAAGCTTATTTAAAAATTAATACTTTAAATATTTATTTAATAAATAAACTAATAATTTTATAATATTAAAGTAATTATAAAACTTTTTTATACTTTATATTTAAAGCTATTATAATAATATATAATATATATTAATATATAATAGTTATAAATTATATATTAATAATAAATTTTTTTAAACTTATCTTTTAAATAAGATTTAACTTTTATTTTATAAACTTTATTATAATTATATATTATAACTATTAAATATTAAAGTTTTTAATTTATTAAAGAAAAAGCTAAAAAATAAATTATAAAAAATACTTATAAATTATTTAAAAGTAAAGCTTTTAAAAAGAAATATATTAATAATATATAAAACTATATATAAAAATATAATAAAGCTAAATATATTAAAAAAAGTATAAAAAATAATTAAAATATATTTAAAAAATTAATAAATATTATTGTTTTTAAAATATATAATATTTAAAAAAAAAGGTATTATAAAAATAATAATATTAATATTTATAATAAAAAAATAATTTATTATATTTAATTTATTAAAAATAGCTTTAAAAATTATAATTAAAATACCTTTTAAAAGTTAATAATTATAAATTAATATATAAAAATTAATTTAAACTTTCCCTTTATTTAATAATTTATTATAAAGGTTATTTTTTATAAAGGTTAATAAAGCCTTTAATAAAAAGGTTAAAATTATTATATTTTTATAAATAAAGATTAAAGTATTAAAAGTTAAACTTTAAAAAAACATTAAAGTTAAATAAAAATTAATTAAAATAGGTTTTAATAATAACTTTATCTATATAACATATATATAAAAGGTAAAACATAAATTATATAATTATTTAATATATATTAATAAAGTTACTAATTAATACATTTTAAAATATAAAAATACCGATATAAAAAAGGTTATTAAGGTTAGAAATAATAAATTTAATTAAAAATATTAAAAAAAGTATCGCGAATAACATATTTATTAAGAAAATCGCTTTAAAAGTTGGGTAATTAGTAGGCAGGGGGGGTGGTCGTAAGGCAGGGTTTTTGCTTATTCATTGAATCCTGAACCCTCTAACCCTCGAAGGGGGGGCCAACACCCCTTTATATAGTCAGTAGGTCTAATACAGCCACCCCTAGGGTCTATGTGACTATATCACCTGACAATATGGTAGACAAATCAGCACATCAGGGTATATAAAAGCACATCGTTTACTGCCGACCGATAATCTGAATTGGTACAGGCGTGGACAAGAAATCCACGACTCTTGTACTAATTACTATATAAGGCCCACTACCGCAGCATCACCAGTTGACATCATAGGCACCGTAAGGGCGTAGGTATATTTTAAGGACGTTGGCGGGGCACATACAGGGCCAGAAATGAAGCTCTATTTTGGCCTATGCGCTGACTATCTAGATCACCTTGAGTAGGTCTCGAAGGTTCCTTATATAGCTGTATATTTGGCGGCCTAACCGCTGGAGATCGTACAAGGTTATGTGAGGCTGTAGAGGAACGTCAGAGACTATTCTAGGTAAGCCTTACCCATGTTTAACATACCCCTAGAACTTCTTAGCCTACATTAAAAAGGTTTAAAAGTAAGGCTATTCCTACCCTATAAATGCTATTAAAGCTTTATATTATTTAATTATTCTTAAGATAAAACCTAACTAGTTAATGCATTTAACAGTATCTTGATCTGATCCCTCGTGCGTATTGCAGGATCTGTAAGGCCTGCCTACGCCCGAGATTTGCCGCCACAAGGTTACATCCAAACATCAGCCACATTCTAGAGAATTCCTAACAATGTTAGCACGACACTATCACACCCTGCTACCTATCTCATTACCCTTCATCGTCGCCAAACAAAACGGCATCGGTCCATGACTGGCATCTTGTACCTATAATATCGCTATTAGTTCGATCGTGTTAAGGCTAACATGCCTTCTGGCAAGAGTCGCTTGAAGGAGTTCAAGGAGATAGCTAAAAGACTGGTTGCCAGACCCCGCACCCCTGCCGCTCAGACTCCTGGTCAATCAGCTGAACCGTCTGGAGCAATCGGGCAACTACGAGAACCGTTAATCGACAACGACCCATCGATCGAAGACCCGGTATTGGGTACAGGAGCCCACCCAACGATTAGCGACACCGAGCCTGAAATAGACGTTAAAGTGACGAACGGTGTTGGCGATGACAGGAGTCCAATATGGTGCCGATCGATGCAGCGCTTTGCTAAAGAGCGTCCCGATCTCTACGAAATAATGAAAGACCGTATTGCGCTATTCGGGAAATTACAATCTATCGACGACTGGGAGACTTGGTTAAACAATTGTAGGAACTTCCCAGACCACAAACGGTTTCGTCAGGTCAAAGCGTACCTTCCGTCATTCAAGGCAGTAAGAAGTATTGCGACGACTCTAAGCAATCTAGATCCACACGGAATCGCGCGTTTGATCATCCCTGGAGTCTTTCTTGCCGTCGAGGTAGGCTAGTATCCTAGCGTGCTGTTAGTAACGTACATCACGAGAGACTGATTTCTTACCTATAGCTCTGCCTTGAAACAGTCAACCCGGAGACCCGCGATCAAGCCATGAGCATGATGTTAAAAGTGAAAGTACTCATTGACAAGTGGATCGATGGTGAAGCTGATCTAGAAGGGCTAAGCAGACAATTCTCTAAAGGCGATCAGAACTTGGAGAAGATAAGGGAGATAGAAAAAAAGCTCGGCTACTTGTATTTTGATTGTCTTCGGCTGATTTCAGAAATTTATAAGTGCGGGATGACTAGATGTGGTCGTGCTGGTGCGTTCTCTGACACCCTTAGTTACTGATCCTGCTTACAGTATCCTAGGAGCAACACTCGTCTCTGGCTCTTTGGAGTGGAATTTAGCGTATCAAAACCTGGATCGTACGAACACACAATGCAGCGATTGGAAGAATCAAGCAGAGTTAGCAGTAAAGAGAAATGATGCCAACAAGGCAATTCTCGATGAAATCAGGGATCGAAGCAAGGATCTCGAACCTGAACACCAATTCATAAAAGAAAAAGTAGGGATTCATGCTAGTTCATCGACAGCTGGCGACTGGTTTCTGAAAACAAAAGAATTCAATTCGTGGTTAGGCGCAATCAGCCACGGGGAGGCAACAAACCGGGCTTTCTGGCTCAAGGGATCAAGTAAGTACTTATATCGCTGCCTTATGTTATGAAATTACTGAATAAGCACCAGTGGGAACAGGGAAGACGACATTGATGTAAGTCAATCTTAATCTATCTCATCACCGCTACAGCTAAGCAATTAACCCCTTACTAACGCAAAAGTCAAAAAGGTGCCGGATCCTCTCGCACTTCGAGGAGCGACCGATTTCCGGTGTCAAATTTGTGCCTTATTACTGCTACGCTAGCGGAATCAGCCAGGAATCGACCGGCCCTACCCACGAGACCATTATTCGAGCCCTGTGCCGTCGTTTAGCGTGGAATAGTGATGGTAGCGTGGCCGATCCCGCCAAAGATCTCTTCCAAAACAGAAATCATGTAGATACATCCTTTACTGTACTTTCGACTTGGGAGCCGCTCCTTAAAACTCTGATTGCGTCCAGTAAAGTCAAAATCGTATTGGTTCTTGACGCGCTTGACGAATGCAAGGAGTGCGATACCTTCCTGAGGTTCATAGAGGGTCTATCAATGCCACCAAACGGCCCCTATTTTATTATATCATCACGTCCTCACGTCGAAGTTAAGAAGTATTCGAAGGACGCCATCGAATTTAACCCTGTCAATCCAGATGCGGACCAAGACATGAAAGACTTCATCAGAGAGCAGATAGAGTCAAAAAACAACAGCACTTGGGGAAACAGTATATTCTGTACGTGTCACCCAAGATGAACAATGGGAAAATTGGACAAGATTATAAGCCCATGTTCAGGCGCGCTAAGATTGCAACAGTTGGCTCCGGCGGCAGCGTGTACCGCAACCGGTTGGAAGAAGCATTACATAAAACCGCTGATGGAATGTGCGTGGAATTTTTCTCAATTCCGCCTTTTAAATCCTTCTAATACTGATAAGTGGCACAGGTTTCGCTGGGTAGAGATTTGGCTAGGAATATTCTTCCCAGTTAACCAGAAGCCCATACGACAGCCAGGATATGCTCAGAAATTATTAGCCGAACTAGAAAACCCCAAGACACTAACCGAATTGGCTAAACGCCAAGGTATTGATAATAACAACCTTGCCGATACCTCAAAATATCGCCTAGGAGAAGCATACAGGACCCTTTGGAACATCGCCGGGGGCGAGCAATACGGGGACCTTCAGACCAGCGTCTTTCAAATTGTGCTTGGCGCCTTTCGTGCCCTAACTCCGAGTGAACTTCTGGAGGCTGTCTGTCTCGCCAATCCCGATGCTTCCTTTGAGCTCGACGAACTCAAAGGTGTCTACTGCAATTTTCTTAAAGTGAATAATAGCGGCGGTCTAGACTTTGAACACCTCTCAGCTAGGATATTCGTGTCCGAGCTGAAGAAGGAAGGCTCTGTTGATCTAATGTTTTGTGAGCGCGAATGTCGCCACATGCTAACAGATATTGTCATAAAGGCTATCGAAAAACATAAGCATCCTATATGGAGTTGTCACCAAATCGATCTAATCGATTGGGGCTCATGTGCGAGGGGAATGTTACGATCGAAATACGTGGAAGATCCCGTCAAAGTCGGATGGCGTCGCATGGTAGCCACCGGGCTTGATTCCGCGCACTTTGGTCAATATGTTCTTGACATGTGGACCTTACACTGCAGTATTGGCCAAATTCAAGGTCCATCAATGGAAAGATTCATCAGCCTTTGCCAAAACGCAGAGCCTAGCCTGGAAGGCTTATTACTCACTACAACGTGTCGCGAGACGAAATCATGGTTCCGAAGAGCGAATTTCGTAGACAACGCAGTACTTCCATTATTTCGCCAAGACGGCAGAGAAAATACGGTCTTTAGCCCCTTTCTCTTGATGATATCCCTCGGTTTATCCCCCTTCATGCGAGGCCCTGAGTCTGTACCAACTCTTTTACCGGGTTTTGACATCGATGATATTACAATTTCCAACTACAAGGGTCTTACAGCATTACATATTGCCTGCCAAGCAAAACATACCAAGATCATAAAGGACCTTCTTGAGCTTATGTGGGCTATGTGGGCTCAAACTATAAAAGGCTTCTGTGCTCACATTCTAGAGCTAAGAGACCACAAGGGGAAACACCCCATGCATTACGCATGCACTGACGATCTCGTCAAGCTTTTCTTGGAGTATGAGTTTAAAGGAAAGCCGAATCAAACCCTCGAGAATGGCCGCCTCGTCAGCAGCTTTCTTTATAGCAAAGATAAGCGAAACACTAATATCATTGCTGACGTGGTTGAAGGTTGCAGCGATGATTTCTTAGAGCGGATGTTCGCACGATACACACCAGGGCGAATTCGTTCGTTAGACCGAGGACTTTGGCCGGCATTTCGACTTCGTAAAGAGAAGACTATTCATTCTCTTCAGAAACAGGGTGCAGATGTGGAATATGCAATGTTAGAACTTTCCATGGAGCGTTATATCGAAGTCGAAAACTTGCCGTCATTGGAATATATGTATGACAAGCTAGCCGAATACGATTTCTGGCCACTGTTTCGGCAGTTTGCACTTTCATTGGCAGCAGGGCAAGGCAGTATCCCCGTCGCCCAACTTCTTCTGAACAGGGGTGCAATAATTGACGCCTGCGGAGACGTATATGACACTGCCCTCACAGAAGCAGCAGCTTTTGGCCGAATCGACATGGTAACGTTTCTACTTGATCAAGGAGCGGAGATTAACGCCATTGGATGCGATCTCGGGAACGTGCTTGCTGTAGCAGCATACCAGGGTTATTATAAGATGGTACAGGTTCTTCTTGATCGTCAAGCAGATATTAACGCGACCGGAGGCAGGTATGGAAACGCGCTTGCGGCAGCAGTAGTTAGTGATGAAACTCGGATAGCAGAGCTTCTTCTTGATCGTGGAGCAGATATCAATGCTAACAGTGGAAAACTTGGAAGGCCGTTAGGGGCGTGTTTGAAAGGCTTAACAGGGTTCCACGGGGCAGAAATGATGAAATTACTTCTATCTAAGGGCGCAGATATCGATTATCTGAAAGAAGAAGATCAAGAGGAAGTTAGATACATACTATACCAGCAACCTCTCTAACACAATACAGACTAGCCGACTGGTAGTTTTGGCAACTCAGGTATGACAACGTTCCGAGGGATGTTGTCGGCATGTTCAGGGTATTTTCAAAGATACCAGCAGGCCACGACCAGAGGGGCGCGAGTAGTATCGCTATAAGTTCAAGTGAGGCAGACGGAGATGAGGCTAGATTCAGGAGGAATCAGTTGAAATAGTACTGCCTCCCTAATTCCAATAGAATCATCCTTACAATCATATATATTTTCATATGCTCATCACAGAAAGCGACCATACAGAACCGATCAGGCACCTCCCCGTTAAATGGTACAAATTCACACCCCAAGTGAGTGATCCAGTCTGCGACAAAGACTAGCTCGAGAAGCGCGAAGGCATTATCTACATGACTGTCACACGGTCAAGTCTGCCAAGACTCCAGGGCCGAACATAACCGATACTACCCCTGGCAGAGAATGAGGCTATAAGCGATTGGATAAGGTCAATTTGTTGGCTGCAAGAGAAACCAACAGTTAAGGCATGAAGGCCCAACGGGCAAGGGAGTCATAGATTGTATGAGGCCTGAAGGAGCATAAATAGCCCAAGGAATCTCCCACTTCAAAGAAGGGGAAAACCAAGGCCCTAGAGACCCCTAGTAGATTATTATTGAATATGACCAAGTTCCAAGCCCTCTATAAGAGCCCTTGTCACAATGACGGATAATTGCATGCCATCCACGAGTCTTCATCAGAATAAGATCTTGCCCAAATAGGACTTCGTACATTGCCTCAAACGAGAACCACGTTATTAAATCATTGGCTGTGATGAGCACGCCGCCATACTTAGAGATACACTCGAAGAGCGTTTTGGCTAGGCTTGCGAGTCGGGGGGGGGGGGGGGGGGGGGGGGGGAAATCCAAAAGGGGCAGGGGAAATAAAAAAAAAAAAATA